GTGGGGGTGAGTGGATTCACCAGAGGCAGAGTGGGGAGCAGAACAGGAGGATCAACTGAAATACACTGCTGAGGGGAGCAGCGGGAGATACAGGAGAGGTCTGCTCACTATGTGGGTTAGCTCCCTGGCCTGGATGGAACTCAGGTGGCAGATAGCTTCATAGTACTGAGACTTAATCCCTTGCGCCACCAGGGAAGCCCTAAATAGTTTTAATTAAGGATTTTATGGTACTTTTTTTCTGTATCTAAACAAGTAGATTCTATACATTTGAGTTCTATAGTTACTGAACATTATTGTTGAATAGCAGTGGGTTTGTGGTTGCTGCTCCTGCTAATCTTTGTAATTACTGTTATAGCCAAAATAAGGAAACTGAATTTATTTCATAGTTCTTGCCTTTATTTTGTGTCCGTCTAATTTGAGATTTCTTTAATGGCAAAGTATAGCAGAATGACATAAAAAATTAACATGCTAAATTTCACATACATTTAAGTGGGTATGTAGCTTCCTTTGTCTCATTTGATTAGGAGAAAATACTCTTCACCTTGTGCTTTGACTTGTACAGAAATGTGTGTGGTTGTAGGGGCTGAAATAGCAATTAAAGTAATGCTGTATTTTAACAACAGACACCATTATTTGACAACATAATGTATAATCTTGTTAGTGTAATTGGAAACATTAAGGGCATTAGATACTGTCAGAGAAATTTACTAACTTTAGCTGTTCACAAAAATCAAATAAGGACAAAAAAGGTAACTTTAAAAAGTACAATCTTTCTCTTAGAAATCCTCACTAAAAGCTTTGATGTCATCGTAATCTTATCCTTTTAATTTTCCTCCTTTTGTCTAATCATTTGCCAAGTCCTGTCATTCTACCTTTGCAGTGTATCAGCTTCCTCCATTCCCTCTCCAATGCCCTACTTTTGACCTTCATCTTTCCCTAGGATCATTATAATAGGTTAGTAAGTGTCTTCCTTATCGCCAGTCTTTTAAAGCCTAGCCTTGTGCCATTGTCATCTTGGATCACACAACTCCCTTCTTCAAAGCCCTGGTAGGGCTTTTTATTATCTTCAGAAGACAAAGGAAATGTTTTAATGTGACATTAAGCATTGTCTGTTGCCTAGACTTTTTCAGGCTGTACTGTCTAGTACATCCGTGTTCTTTCTCTGTACTATATGGTTCCTAGCCTCATCTCTAGCAAAAGCCTTCTTCCCCCAAGAATCATAAATGCTCCCCCATGATACCTTCTAGGATCCTGTTAGTCTTTACTTGATCTTTCCTGAACTTTTTTTGTAGTATGCTTTTTATAACTTTCTAGTTTGATAGTGTTCTATGTTGTATTACTACTGCTTTAAACTTTCTCTTTTGCATTAGTTTTTTCAACTTTATGACGAACAGATCACATATTATCTGGAGTTCCTGAAATTTTAGCGTTATCTGTGTAGCAGGATATCTGTGACTGTTTCAATTGGATTTAACTTTTTGAAATGGCTATGATTACTCTTTTTAGTAGTGTCAGTAGTGTATATATTATAGGTTTTTTTTTTTTTTTTTTTTAAGATTTATGTATTTGTTTATACAAGCACTGGGTACAGTCAGAAGCGCGGGAGGGTGAGAGAATTCACCAGAGCCAGAGCGGGGAGCAGAGCAGGCAGAAGGACCGAAGTACACTGTTGAGGGGAGCAGCGGGTGGCAGGAGAGGCTGCGCGCCATGTGGGACCCTCCTCCAGTGGCCGGGGAGCAGCCTGGGATCGAACCATCGCTGCAGAGGCTGCAGGCAGCTTCACAACCCAGCGCTCAACTGCTGCGCCACCGGGGAGGCCCATATATTATAGTTTTTATATTCTTCGTCATTTCAAGATCCAAGCTTTAAAGGTAATCATAGAACAGATTCAACTAAGAGCATATTCTAGGCCTTCATTTTACAAGATTCGAATAAATAGCTTTATTGTTCCAATCAAGAAACTGGTTGTCACGAATCAACAAAATAGATTCTACCCAACTTTTGAACGTTAATTTTGTGGTTAGACCACTAGTTCTTGTGATCCAGGTAAAGGAAAGACTTGTAAAAGCAGATATTATCAGACTGGTACTAGGTTATTCCAACTCTGGCTTTTAGTCCTTATCTTTGTATACTAGGTAGTATACCACTAGAAATGATTGAACTTTTGGGGAATTACATTTCAAGAGGTGGCCTATTTAAGGAATGCAAATGTTGCCTTTCTGTGGTTGAGTAAACTTATGACTTCATTTGTGCTAGTTGGGGCAGAAAAGTTCCAGGCTAAGTCTTGTTACTGGTAACCTTACTGTCTTTTGGCCCTCATTAATATACTCCAGACACCCCTCTCATCTGCCATACTAAGGTCGTTGTCATGTTACCAAAACCTCAGATTTCCTTAAATATCTTTCTGAAAACTTAATTTTTTGACTTTACTGCACTTTCCCTTTGTCAGAAGTAGTATTCTTCAGCTGTTCCTTCATTTTTTTGTAGAAACCATATTGCTGCAGTGCTCTACTCTATACTATTATTTTCTTTATTCATTGACAGTTTTTAAAATTTATATGTAATTACTTCTATTTCTTTGTTCCTTCAAGCTTATGCTCTTGCTTCCACTCACACCACTGTATGGAAGGTTTATTCCACAAGGTTATATATAGCAGACTCACCAGTATTTCAGGTCTGTTTTTTTAAATCAGTATTGTTAAAACATATATATTGTTTAACTTATAATTTCCTAACTTCTGTATCTGTCTGGATACTCTTCATATTTGTATAAAACTACATACTTTTAATTCATGTTTATACTGTTATACTCAAATAATTACTGTCTTTAATTTTTTGTGTGAAATATGTTGGGTATATTACATAGATTTTTGGTAGTTATTATCAGTGAATGAATACCCCTACAATTGTATATCCCTGAAGTTCCTGTATGTACCTCCCTGATTACATTTTCTGCCTCCCTCCAGAAATAGAACTTTACCATTTCCTGTCTTTATTGGTTTACCTCATTTGTATCCATAAGTAATATATTGTTATAATTTAGTTTGTTTTTAAGCTTTATACAAATGGTGTCATATGTACTCCTGATTTTTTTACTCAATTTTGGGATAGGCAAGAGGTGAGGAGGTGACAAGTGAAGGGTGGTATGGTATATTCTCTGGCTGAACTTTGTCCTGGGAGTTCAAGGACCATTTTTATATATTCTTGTATCTTTAACATGTAAAATAGTATTTTTTGCAAGGTAAAACACTCAAATGATGCTAGTGTGTCTAAGTATGTGAAAATCCAGGGGACCGTATCATATTCTTTCCTTAATGCATGCTTTTTTTCTGGTTTGTTGATGTAATACATGTTTAACAAGAACATACTTAATGTTAATTGATCCATTTGGAAGTATAGTGAGATCCAAAACCTTTTCTTCCATGTCTTTATACCTTTTTAACACCAAATTCAGAGTGATGAGAAAATTATAGGAAATATTTATGTATCAACCAACTATTGTTTCTAAATGCATAGATCTTAAACTAATGATTACAGTATTTGACTAAAGTGCTTTCTAGATACATGGAGTAGGTAGAAATGGGAAAAAGTAAAAGTTACAAGACTATGATTTTCAGAGAAAAATAGACGAGCTACCTACCATTTATGACTGAGATAGTGGATTAGTAGCACAAGTTTAGAAGAATGTGTATCAAGATACCAGGAGGTATTATTATTATTATTATAAAATGTGTTCAGAATCCAAGCAAATTGGAATGCTTTTTTAAAATTTTTTTAAAAAAATTTATACAGAACTGGGGTACAGGCCAGATGTGCAGGAGGGTGAGAGGATTCACCAGAGACAGAGCAGGGAACAGAACAGGCAGACTGACGAAATACATTGCTGAGGGGAGCAGCGGGTGAGACAGGAGAGGTCTGCTGCGCCATGTGGGTTTCTCCCTGGCAGGACAGGATCAAACCCGCGCTGCAGACAGCTTCACAGTGCAGTGCTCAACTGCCTGTGCCACCAGGTAGGCCCTGGAATGCTTTTAGAGTTTCACCTAGAAGAACAAAAACACATCCCCACCAAAGTTATACCTCATTTAACTTTTTAGGATTACATACATTTTTATGTCTGTTCTTCTAAAATTAGTGAACTGATAATTAAGAACATTAAGATTGTGGAAAGGAGTGATTTTTAAAAAGTTGTAATCTCATAAATATATTAGTGCAGCTTTTTATTCAAATTGTAATTAGTTCTTCACAGCTGAAGACCTTGTAAAAATTTAATTGACTTCCTGAAGTTTCATTTAGTGACACTTATGATCTTGCCAAAACTTCCCATTTGTTGTATTCCCCTGATCTGCATATACTTGCATCCCTGCATATGTACACACACACACACCCCCACACACACCTTGATAGGTGCGTATGTATTTACTTAGCCTTTCTTCCTCTTCATTTTATTTACTTGCTCGTTCATCTTCCTAGTCAGAATTTATTGGAGCATATGAGGAAACAGAATGTTGTAAAACTTTAAAGAGCTTTTCACAGTAAGCTAAAGTACTTGGGTGTATTCTGCAGAAACATGTTCATATGTACCCTGCTCTGTGTAAAGTGATCTTCTTAACCCCTTCCACTTTTTTACTTATATAAACTGATGTCATCAATGGGAAAGAAATATTTTTAAATGAAATTTCCTTCTATTGTGATGTTATTAGTGCAGATGTATAGAAGAAATATAAAAGTTCCTATTCTGTTCCATTGACAGGAAAGATCATTACTACTTAAGGCAAAATGACACAAACAGTAATTCAACAATTAATGAAAATTTGGAAAAAGAAAATGTCTGTTGATATACCTTGTTTATCCTGAACTCTCAAACAGATATGCAAGCTATTAATTTAAAACTAACTCTTAGCAAAGTATTCAGTTGAGGAGTTTCATTTTTTTTTTTAAACTGTCAAACCTGTTTTATTGTTTGTGAGGAAAGCTAGTAATTTGTGTTCATTGTGTTTCAGAAAAGAACTGCTTTTAATGAAATACATCATCCATTGTAAAATTGGAAAAATAAAGCTTATTCATCATGCCTGCCGTGGCTTCAGTTCCTAAAGAACTCTACCTCAGTTCTTCACTAAAAGACCTCAATAAGAAGACAGAAGTTAAACCAGAGAAAATAAGCACTAAGAAGTAGGTGTCACTTACCTAATTTGAGTCGTATATTAGTTTTAAGGTCATTTCCGTATTAGGTGAGGTAGATGAGTAGTTCATTTAAAGTTTTATTTCAAAAATGGCATCATTATAACACTAAAGTAACCTTATTAGAGAAGTTGTTAATTTTCCATTTTGGCAGAATACATATAAATTCTGCTAATATGCATATTATCTAGTGTCTGGACAGAATACCAGATCATAAGTTGTGTTTTTTTTTTTTTAATTATTTTTATTTATGCATACAAGAACTGGGTATAGGCCAGAGGTGTGGGCGGGGTGCGGGGGTGAGAGGACTCATCAGAGACAGAATGGGGAACAGAACAGGTGGATGTATGTGCTTAAATACACTGCTGAAGGGAGCAGTGGGCGACACAGGACATAAGTTTCAGAGGTGAAGACTACAAGAGGGCCTCCTGGGTGGCCTAGGGGATAAGTCTCAGCACTACCACCACAAAGGCTCACCACAACAGCCTGAGTTCCATCCTTGGCCAGAGAACTAACCCACATGGTGCAGGAGACTTCTTTTGTCTTGCTCATTGCTCCCTACTCTGTCTCTGGTGAATGTTCTCACTTCCACCCTACATTCTGGCTTGTGCCCCAGTTCTATGCAAAAATAAATAAATACAAGATCATTCAGCCACAGTTAACATGTTTTCATAAATATGCTTAATTAAAGATTATTTTTATCTTTGTGTATTTTACATATAAGTTATAATTCTAGCATGATCTTTCTTTGATTGAAAGACAAATATTTTTTTGTCCAGTATTCAGCAATTAATTTGCTAATTTGGCATGAATTTTTAACCTAATGATTTATATATTTTTATTTTTTAGGGTGTATACTCTATACATGTGGAGTTAGAGGCTATATAGGATACCTTCCTGATAACATTAAGCTCTTTCTTGAAATAAAATGTGACAGGGAAGGAGAGGTTCAGCCATTTTGCTACTTACTGGAAGTTATTTTGCTAAAAATATTTGGCATCACTAAAATTCTTAACTCGCAGATAACTTTATCTTTGTTAAGAGTGAGGAAATACAAGGGGCACTCTTCCTCAGAATTTATTTTGACTAACAAAGGAGAAGACTTTGAGTTTAATAAGTAATCACATATTATTGAGTTGGAAATAAAAGAGTTTTGAAAATGAAACATCGAGAATGAAGACAGGAAAGTAACAGTAACTCTAAAGTAGATCAGGAAAGAAAATCTCAGAGAACTAATATTCCTAAATATTACTAAGGACAAAACAGGCTTTTTTTTCCCTTTGGGGGCCAGCAAGAATAACAGAAGGATTGGCCTACTTCTTCAGCTAAGTATTATTGATGCAGTGACAGAAAAAGCAGCTCTATTAAATTTGTATTGAGTGATTTTCAAATGGGAGAAACACTGGGAAAGATAAAGCCACCTTGAAGAGCTTCAGCTAAATTTAAGAGAGCTCAATCTTTTCTAGCAACCTCTGGTTTAATTCTATATCTACCCTGATCTCACAGGAATGATGTGTCAGAAGAACTTCCTGAATATACTACCATGAACATAAGTTCTTTCTTATTATGTCATGGCACTCTTAAAGACTGCTGGACTCCTTTTATGATGTTTGACTTCTGTATTGGTCTCACAGTGGCACTGTAATCAGCTTGATCTGTTACATATAGGCCTGTAAGATGTATAGATATCAGTGAAAGAAATTTGAAGAAAACCTACGAACTGTTGCACCAACTTCGGACCTCTTGTTGAGAATCCCTATATTAGATTGGTTTGGTTTTCTTTTATCTAGTCACTATGGTGCCATTCTAGGTAGGGCGTACATACTGACTGGAAATGGTCCTTGCACAGGACCATCTTTGGTACTCAGTGACACTTAGCCTTTGTTCTTTTGTATGGTATTTAGTTTCTTGGCTTGACCAACTCCATAATTAATTGATATCTAAATGTTTGTGCACAATTAAGGAAGTATAGAAAAAATATATTGTTTTGTATAAATAATTAAATACATTGTATATAAGTAAGGGTATTATAACTTGGTTGCCAAAACTTTTGTCCTATGTGTGTGAATCCTTTTGCAGAAATGCCTATTTAAAGACTGTAAACCAGGAAAATGTCCTTATAATGAACACCACAGAATCCCCAAATTACTGAAATGAAATTTTTGGATGTGTTTTTTTTTTAAGTCTCTTTCTTTGTGCATTCGTGAATCAGACTGCAGTTTAATCATTTGTAGAAAACTTTTACCAAATAAAAAGATTGAAACCATGTCCCTTTACCTGTCCCTAGTTTCGTGGGTTTTTAGTTGGGGAGGAATTTACATCATAGTTAGAGAGGAATGCGGAGAAGAACAAGTATTTGTTTTAGCATTAAAGTGATAAAGATTTTTGCTCTATTCCTTCAGTAAAAATGGTATGCATTTATGTTCATTAATGATAGAAAACTGTTAAATGGATGCCTAGGGACCACTTTCTCAAGTTTTTTACAGCAAATATTTTTATATTTTAGATTCAGAATGCATTTTGAGCAGTTTTTTTGACATATGAACAACTATAACAAAATCGAATCTTGTAGCATAAGGGAAATTTTCAGTGGTGTCCAAACTTATGTCTATCTTTGTATCTACAAATGAGTGCAACCTAAATTGTGAAGTTAGTGCAACCTAAATTGTGGACTTTACACATGAATTTCCCGGATTTTTTTTTGGTATTTTGATTACTTTTTTCTCTGATTTTAAGTTATGTACAGAGTGCTCTGAAGATCTTCAAGACAGCCGAAGAAAGCAGATTAGATCGTGATGAAGAAAAGGCCTATGTTTTATACATGAAATATGTGACTGTTTATAATCTTATCAAAAATAGGTCTGACTTCAAGCAACAACAGGTACCTTTTATTTCTGCATTTTTATTTCCTGATTTATTTACACACAGTGGAGCTATTGATTCTCAATGTTTTAGCTATTACTGAAACTTAGATCACATTATGCAACATTAGGTTCAAACTCTTATGCAGATAGAAGAGCAGCTCAAGATTTAGTTTCATATTTCTTGATACTTGTGTATGTTTGTACATTAAGTATGCAAATACTTAATTTGCCTAGAATGAGTATAAATTTATAGCAAAATGCATACTCGTTATATTATTGCTAGGACAAGGAATGGATTTCTTTCTCATGCATTAAAAAATTTATATATGACTAATTTTACTTTCATTATCAGTTTTTGTTACTTTTTTACTGGTAACATTTTCTATTTGACATTGTAGTCGTATTAAAGGTTTCAGCTTGCAAAATTAATACTGACCACTTCCATATTTCTTTTTGCTTTTAATCCTTTGGGCATTCTAAATTAATAGTTGTTTTTTTTTTTTTTCTTTGACAAGATTCTAAATACTTTCATAGCTGTCTTTCTATAACTTGAGAATCTTGGGATAAATTTTAAGCGAGATTTTTTCCATTTTCGAGAGAATTGTATTTCCAAAGGGAGTATCTAGTTGATAGTGCATGAGAAGTTCAGATTAGGAAACTCCCTGCAAAAGTCTGAGGTAACCCGTGCTCTTACCATTTATTCACATTTGTTCAGTTCCTGGTTTTGAGTGAAAGGACTATTTTCATTTGCTTTATCCAGGGTACCTCATCTGATTTATTTTTTTTTAATTTATTTTATGGATTTATGATTACAAGAGCCACAGTGTAGGACAGAGCTGGGGTGTATGAGAGGATTCACCAGAGACAGAGTGGGGAGCAGAACAGGTGGATTGACTGAAATATGCTGCTAAGGGGAGCAGTTGGCGAGACAGGAGAGGTCTACCTTACCATATGGGTTAGCTCCCTGGTGAGGATAGCTTGACAGTGCGGAGACTTAACCCCTTGCGCCTCAGGGAGGTAACCTACATTTGAAATTTAAATAAAATTTGTTAATTTAACAAATTACTAATAGAAAACATGTTACAGTTATTGCTCACTTAGGAAAACATCAGTATATCAACATTTATTTCATGGCTATTAGAAAAAGGAGGGAAAATATATTGAAAATGTTAGTATAGCAAAGTCTAGATAAAATTTGAATTATATTTTTAATTCTCTATGGTATTCTTGATAATCCTAAATATTCATTGGTAAACATGTTTGAGAAGTCATGAGAGTTGTTTGATTTTGCAAGTTTGTGAGTAGGTAAAAGATCTACTTGGTAAACCTGAGAAGCAGACATTTTTAGTTCTGTAAAAATTAGATGACTTTTTTTTACGTTCTGCAGTATTGCAAATAGTATTGAAAATTTGAAAATATTCATACTGTGTTTCTTTAAGAGCGCAGAGTGAGGTTCCTAAGAAATATCACTAATAAATATGAGGGAAATATTCCTGGGAGTTTGTAGCAGACATGCCCACATACAGAAAAGCTTCCAGTATTTAAATAGGGTTGAACTGGTTTTATAGACTGGCTTTTTAATGAGTTCATGTAAAAAAAAATAATAGAAGTCAGTATTTTTCATTTTTACTTTGCATGTTTTTATCTTAGAAATCTCAGCAATGATTAAATCTTGTTTTCTATTAAAATATTGTATCACTAGTCATACATTATGACAACAGGAATAATTAGTTAATGTTGTAATTTTCAGCTAACACAACATTGAGCAAACTGTTTTTTTTTTTTTTTTTTTTTTTTGAAGATGTATTATTTATGCACACAAGGGGTATAGGCCAGAGATGTGGAGAGTGAGGATTCACCAGAGAGAGAGTGGGGAGCAGAACAGGCAGATCCACTGAAATACAGTGCTGAGGGGAGCAGTGGGCGAGTCAGGAGAGGTCTGCCGTGCCATGTGGGTTGCTCCCTTGGCTGGCTGGAAATTGAACTCGTGCTGCAGTGGCTGCGGACAGCTTCATAGATTGTGTCTTAACCCCTTGTGCCACAGGGAGCTTCCTTAAGCAAACTGTTTTAAAGAAATTACATAGTGAAGGACCCTTTTTACTTAATTATTCTTTTACTTAAAAAATAAACTCGGGGCCTCTCTGGTGGCTTAGGGGTTAAAGTCTCAACACGTACAAGTTATCGATAGCCATTGCGGCATAGTTTGATCCCTGGCCAGGGAACTGACTCACATGGCACAGCAGACCTCTCCTGTCTCACCCCACTGCTTGCCTCAGCAGTGAATTTCAGTCAGTCCCCCTGCTCTGCTCCCCACTCTGTCTCTGGTGAATCCAGTCACTGCCCCCCCCCCCCGCACCTCTGGCCTAGACGCCAGTTTATATGCATAAATAAAAGAAATCTTAAATAAGTAAATGAAAGAATAAATTGAACCAAAATGTGATCTACTTTTAGGTTAGATAGATACATGCTAACTGTTAGCAATAGATTTGTACCACCAGCTCTTTTAACTACCTTTCGAAGAGCTAAACATGGGTATATCTATCCTTTTAGTCTTTCTCTAAATTTTCATTTCTAATTCATCTGATTAATTGTACTAGTAGACTACCAGTAAGCATTTAACAGACTTATTACACTGTTGTCTTTTGAACCAACCTTGATTTGAAAATCTCTCTTATTGCAATATCTAATAAGTGATCTCTTAAGTCACTTAAACACTTAGTTGTGCTTATTACTAGTGTTTACTTGTTTTATTTTTAGCTATTTGAGGTTTCCTCAAGTGTAAAAATTGTTTTCTGTGTCATAAGTGGTTGACTGCATTTGGGGAATGAGTAGCTACTGTAAAAAATAGCTGGAAGCAGAAACATCTGAGTTTAAAACAAGTAAACCAGAATAAATCCTGTGCTGTAGATCTGTACACAATTTCCCTACCATTCTGAGACTATAGACAAAAACAAGGTAACTTATTTATGATAGCATGTTGCTCTTAAAGTCTTTAGTTTTTGACATTTATTCATAAACAAAAATAGTAGTATTTACATTTCTTACAGGTGCCTTACAAATAAGTAAAATTTATTACCTACTGAGTTTTTTTAATGTTAAAGTTTAAAAAAATACTTCATTAAATCATAATACTGTTTACCTTTCAACTTTACATACCACCATGTTTTTTTTTTTTTTTAAGAAGCATGCATTATTTATTTGTTTGTTTGTTTGTTTTGTTTATACATGCACTGGGTACAGTCAGAAGTGCGGGAGGGTGAGAGAATTCACCAGAGCCAGAGCGGGGAGCAGAGCAGGCAGAAGGACCGAAGTACACTGCTGAGGGGAGCAGCGGGCGGCAGGAGAGGTCTGCGCGCCATGTGGGACCCTCCTCCGGTGGCTGGGGAGCAGCCAGGGATCGAACCCGCGCCGCAGAGGCCATGGGCAGCTTCGCAAACCAGTGTTCAACCACTGCGCCACTGGGGAGGCCCTACATACCACCATGATTTTAATGTATTTAGCATTAGTGCTGTATACAGTCACTGGTACTAACATTTATGGGATACCTTTCCTGTAATTCCAGGACTATGTTCATTCTATGCTTGGCCCATCAAACATCAAAAAAGCTATTGAAGAAGCTGAAAGACTCTCTGAAAGCCTTAAACTCAGGTACAAACATTATTATAAAGTCTTTAAAATAATATAAATGTACAAGATAAAAATATTTAGAATTTGTTCATTTATTTCTGACTCAGCATACAAATCCCCCAAAATAAGTCTTGTGCTAATGGAGAAACAAAAATTTAAATCTTTCCCTTACCACCTATCTTATGTCCATGTACTATTAATTTTCTCTTGAAATTTAGAAAATGTTCAGAATGATTGACTGTTAAAGTAGACTTTGGTATATCAAATTAGAGCTGAGGTCCAATATTTCTAAGTTTTTGACAGTACTCTTCAGAAAAATTTAATTCCTCTTAATGCCCCATGTTGTTCTGGGCTACTTGGACATGGTCTTATGGAAATGAAGTATTTACTGTTAATTTTGACCTCACCAGTTGCAGAAGTTAATTCTAATTTAATTCTAGTATTTGTCATGATAGGCTTATCAGGCTTATAAAATAAAGGCAGTGTGTGTCAATTTTTAATTATTAGTCTTTTTTTTTTTTTAATATTTATTTATACACGAACCAGGGTACAGGCCAGATGTGTGGGAGGGTGAGAGGATTCACCAGAGACAGAGCGGGGAACTGAACAGGCAGAATGACTGAAATACACTGCTGAGGGGAGCAGTGGCCGAGATAGGAGAGGTCTGCTGCGCTCTGCTGCACCATGTGGGCACCTCCCTGGCTGGGGATCGAACTCATGCTGCGGTGGCTGCGGATAGCTTCATAAGTTGCGCTTAACTCCTTGCGCCACCAGGGAGGCCCTACCTTTTGAACCTTCTTAGAACTTTTCTCTCACTTGCTTGTTACCTGTACATATTTATATTCTGAACCACTTTGTAAGTAAATGAAATTTTAACTCTGTGTGTTACAGGAATGTAAGTTCACCCCTCTGCAAATGTATATTCTCATACTGTACCCTCCTTAGAAGGACAGTAGAGCAAGTATCCTGGTCTTGTGCCTCATTTTACAGGAAAGCTTTCAGTTTTTAACCACTGATAAAATGTTGGTTGTGAGTTTGTCATATGAGGCCTTTATAATATTGATGTATGTTCCTTCTATATCCATATTTTTGAGATTTTTTTATTATAACTGGATATCGAATCTTGTCCAATGCTTTTTCTGCATTTATTCATATTATCACATGATTTTTTATCCTTTTGTTGAAATGAATTACATTGATTTCATATGTTGAACCATTCTTGCATCCTTGGAATAAACCCCACTTGGTCATAGTGTATGACCCTTTTAAAATTTTAAAAATTTGTTTTGCTAAGATTTTGTTGAGAATTTTTGTACCTGTTCATGGTTTATTGGTCTGTAGTTTTCTTTTTTGTGATATCCTTTTCTGCTTTTAGAAACAGGGTAATGTTGGCTTCATATGGTATATTTTTTAAGTGTTCTCACTGATTTTTGGGGGAGAATTTGAGAAGAGGCACATGAATACTTCCTTGATTACTGCTTCAATTTCCTTGCTTGTGATTGGTCTGTTCACATTTCCTTTTTCATCCTGACTCAGGTTGAGAGGTTGTATGATTCTAAGAATTTGTCCATTTCTTCTAGCTTTTCCAATTTGTTTCCATAAAGATATTTATTATAGTCTCTTACATCCACTGTATTTCTCTGACAACTGTTGTAACTTCTCTCACTTAGGATTCTTGTTATTAGAGTTTTTTTCTCTCTCTCTTTTTTAATGAATCTAACTATGTTTGTCTATTTTGTTTATCTTTCCAAAATAAAGGAGTCAGCTTTTCCTTTCATTGACTTTTTGAATTGTCTTTTTATTTTATTTCTGCTGTGTTTTTTCTGCTGCTGGCTTTTGGGTTCTACTTTCCTATTTCCTTATGGTAATAAGGTCTGATTATTAAATTGAGATCTTTCTTTTTTCTCTATATGGGCGGGTATTGCTATAAACTTCCCTCTTAGTACTGCTTTTGCTGCATTGTGTAGAGTCGGGTGCATTGCACCTCTGTTTTTGTTCATCTTCAGGTGCTGTTTCATTTCTCCTTTGATTTTCTTGTTAATCCAGTAGACATTCAGTAATAATGTTGTTTAGTCTCCATATATCTGAGGTTTCTCCTCTATTTTTATGGTTGATTCTAGTTTGATCATTAGAGGTGTTTAATATTATTTCAATCTACTTGAATTTATTGACACCTGTTTTGTGACCCGATAAGTATTCTAGCCTCAGTATGATATTGGAATTAACACAGATACACATACCAATGGAATACAATAATGAACCCAGAATTAAGCTCCCGTATACATAGACATTTCACTAAAAGCAGCAGAGCCAGTGATTTATAACGGAGAGAGGAGAAGCTCTTGAACAAATGGTGTTGGGAAAACTGGACAGCCACACACGAAGAGTGAAACTATTTATATAAAACAATAGACAAAAATTAATTCAGAATGGATTAAAGACATAGATCTGTGGGAGGCAGTAACTGAAATATTTTTTTATTTCTTTGTCCTCAGCTGGATTCCTTAGTGGCTGTCTCAAGCTGCTTAGTTCAGTGTCAGCTGGAGATAAGGTCAAATTTATGGACAGAACTTGTAACTGTTGACTCTGGGACAATTGTTCCTGTCCTCATTTCTTGCTGCTGTGGTTGTCCTTTACCTCTCTTCTTGGTTGAAGCCTATAAGAGTGAGGGTTTCTATTGGAATTCTGTCTGCTCCCCACCATCTGCATGATAGGTCATATATAATGGGGAAACTTAATTTATACCCTTACTTTTTTCACTTGTTAGTTACTATCCGGTGTGGATGGTTTTGTTTGCTCTCACTGCCTTCACATAGTCTTAACTTTCTCTGAAATGTATGTCCTTTCTGAGGAAGTCAATACTATAGAAACTACTATGCCATTACCAAAAGTAGAGCCATATCCATCTTTCTTTTTTTAAAGAAAAAGAATGGAATTTTAAAATATTTTGTAATTACAACGTCGTGTTCCTTCAATCATATCTTGGTGATCGATCTTTTCAGGCAGTGGAATGAATAATTCTGAAGTTGTTGTTAAACATAAGGTTTGAAATGAAATGCTTCAAGTCTTAGAAATTAAATGCTTTGTTTTCCTTAAATTCTTTCCATTTGAGGAGTAGCCAAGCTTTGTGTGACATGCTAATCTTCTTAAGAAGCTAAAAATTATTTTCTTATAAGGTGGATGCTTATCAAATTGGAATTATCTTATTGATAGATAGTACATTTTGGGTCACTGTTAAGCTAATGCTGATAACAATGGTAGGAAATAATTTGAGTCTAGATATCAATAAATTAGGATGTCTAGATATCAAATCTTAGAATTAGTACTGCTAAGAATGTTTTTCGTTAGCTTGTGAAGCTGGCTTAAATTTTTGTTATGTGAAGCTGGCACAAATTCTTTGTGTAATCTCCATAGTCATAGTGTAGTTTTAGGTGTTTAGAAATTTATCTTTGTGTAAGTCATTCAAAAGCATATATAAAACATAAAGAGTAATAAAATGAAAAGTGTTCATGTTTTTATTATTGATTATATATTAAACATTGACTTTTAAAGTAAATTAAATTGACTTTAATTTTCCTCTCTAATTTTTCTTCTCCCTTCCCTCCCTTCATCTCTTTATTTTATTGCATTGCCAGGCAACACTTTAAATACAGTTGCAGTTCCCTAATAACATCCTTTCCTGGCAGTAGTGGTAAACATTGCATATAATTTCATTAAGGAATAGATGTTGGATACTAAAAAAATATTCCTTAGATAACTGCTAACATAACATAGCAGTTTTAGTTCTAACAAATTGGAAATTACATTGAGTTCATCTTTTAAAATAAAATTTACTCTAAATGTCAAACACAAATGCACAAGTGTAATATATGGATTTTTTTTTTTTTCAGAAGGAATTGGGGTTGTGAATCCTTAGAAAAGGATATTGCAGCAGATTCAAATCATTAAATGGTTGAATTTGCAGGAGGAAAAGAACAAAAAGCATTAAGCAACTTTTAAAGCATAGAGTTTCTTTTCAAGATTTTTGATTTATTTGAAATAGAAAATTTTCAAGTTGTGGTTTGTATCAGAACACTGGTTTAGTTGAATTTCAGATGGTGGGAGAAAAGTATTCAGCTATATATACCCCCAAAACAGTACTAGCTTTGAGAACTGGATTTATTTGCCCAATTTTACCAATCAAAGACATATGCTGACTTCTTTTTTGACTAGATATGAAGAAGCTGAAGTTCGAAAAAAACTTGAAGAAAAGGACAGACAGGAGGAAGAACAACTGCAGAAACAGAAAAGACAAGAAGCAGGAAGAGAAGAAGGTGGCACATCAGCTAAAAGTTCTTTGGAAAATGTATTGGATTCCAAAGACAAAACCCAAAAGGTATTTCAAATCTGTTGTGTGAGGCAAGAAGAATTGAGCTATCACTACAACTTTCTTTTGGACAGCATGAGTAAAATTTAATGTTTTGATTAGAAATTCAATTGAGTATTCTAGTTTCACTTGATTCCAGGTTTTTCTTGGGGCTTTTAAAGAAAGATGTTCTGTATATTAGTTTTTGCAGTTAGTATAAATGTGATGAGAGTTGTAGAAAGAGCATTTGTGCTATAATTGAGTATCTATCAATCCTGGTCCTGTGTCAATTCTTGCTTAACTGTTTTGGGACTCAATTTTCTTATTTACCCAATGAGATCTTTAAAAAGATCATCTTTAAGGTGTCTTCTTTCTAATAAATGTAATTTGCATTGAAAGGAGATTTGGTCTACTACGTATTTGCTGCCAAACCTTTTTATCTGTTTCTGGGGTCTCATTCTCTTTCCTTTGTCTTTTCTCTTTCCAGGTATTCTTTCCTTTTTCTTTCTCTCTTTCCATTTTAATGTTCAGTGACTACTTGTAATCTTTTTAGCTACATTTATTTATCAAAACCAGTTGATGACTTAGTCTGTACCTACCTTGTATGTTGTTCTTTACCTCCTCAAAAACTATACCTAAAATGTCATTTCCTCTGTACTGTTGAAATTCATGGAAAAAATTTTGCTTTAATTTTTCTTAAGTTATCTTGTAGCTTTCTTTCTTTTTTTTTTTTTTTTTTTTTTAAGATTTATTTATTTATTTATACAAGCACTGGGTACAGTCAGAAGCACGGGAGGGTGAGAGAATTCACCAGAGCCAGAGGGGAGAGCAGAGCAGGCAGACTGACAAAGTACACTGCTGAGGGGAGCAGCTGGCGGCAGGAGAGGTCTGCTCGCCATGTGGGACCCTCGCCCTGTGGCCGGGGATTGAACCAGCTCTGCAGAGGCTATGGGCAGCTTCGCAGCCCAGCGCTCAACCCCTGTGCCACCAGGGGAGGCCCCTTGTAGCTTTCAACTCATATTTGTTTGTGAGTCATTACTGTTTCGTTAAGAATAGTTACTGAATTGCTTGTGATATTGTGCTAGGCATTGTGTAAAAATGTAACGAAATCTCGTGTTTGGATTTTAGGAACTCCTGTAAGATAAGTTATACTACCTTAGAGAGATGTTCATATGTAGTTCATACCACTAATATGAACAACAGAAAAACTCCCCTAGAATTCAAGGACCTAATTGAAAGGACCTTTTTTTGAATTGAGGTAGTAACATTGGTTTACAACATTGTGTTTTAGAAGTCTAGAATCCCCCTTGTCAGGTGGTGTTACCACACCACACCATACCTACCCCCAAAACACTCATAGTCCACAATCATAATCCATTGTCCTCCCTCCCCATTTTGTTCTTTTCCTCCCCCTTCTTATCCCCTTTTGGTAGCCTCAATTCTATAGTCAGATTTTTAGGGTTTATTAATTTGGCTCTATCTAACCCTTTGTTCGATTTCTCTGTATTCCACATATAAATGACACCATCTAGAATTTCTTCTAACTTACTTTGCTTAGCATAATCCCCTCCAGCTCCATTCATGCTGTTGCAAGTGTCAAGTTTATCTTTTTTGACTGCTGAGTAGTATTCCATTGTGTGTATATACCACATCTACCTGATCCTTTAATTTGTCTTTGGACATGTATTTTTCTTAGTTTGACTTTTGTAAACAGTGCTGCAGGCGAACATAGGCTTGCATATATCCTTTTGAACTAGTGGTTTTGTGTTCTTTGGTTGATATCTAGAAGTGGATTGCTGGGTCAAATGGAAGACCTATTTTTAATCTTTTAAGAACTCTGCATACTGTTTTCTACAGGGGATGGACCAGTCTACATTCTTGCCAACAGTGTAATAGTGTTCCTTTTTCTCTACATCTTCACCAATACTTGTTTTTGGTATTTTTGACGTAGGTCATTCTTACAGGTGTGAGGTGGTTTTACTCATTGTGGTTTTATTATGTATAACCCTGATTAGTGGTGATGAGCATTTTTCCATGTTCCTGTTGGACATCTGTATATCTTCTTTGGAGAAGTGTCTTTTTTTTTAAGATTTATTTATGCATACAAGAACTGGGGTACAGACCAGAGGTGTGGGGTGTGTGTGAGAGGATTCACCAGAGACAGAGTGGGGAACAGAACAGGCAGATTGACCGAAATATACTGCTAAGGGGAGCAGTGGGCGAGTCAGGAGAGGTCTGCTGCTCCATGTGGGTAGCTCCCTGGCTAGGGATTGAACTTGTGCTGCAGTGGCTGAGTCAGGAGAGGTCTGCTGCTCCATGTGGGTAGCTCCCTGGCTAGGGATTGAACTTGTGCTGCAGTGGCTGTGGAGAGCTTCATAGGTTGCATCTTAATCCCTTGCGCCACCAGGGAGGCCCAAGAAGTGTCTTATTTAGCTCCTCTGCTCACTTTTTGATTGAATTATTTTCTTTTTATTGAGATGTGTGAATTATTTGTAGATACTTGGTATCATAGTCCCTGTTGTATTTATGGTGTGCAAATATATTCTGCCATTCACAGGGTGTCTATTTTTCATTGTATAGAAGCTTTTCAGTTTGATGAAGTCCGAATTATTTATATTCTTTTCTTTCCCTTGCTCTTAGAGACCAAGCCACAAAGATATCTCAGAAGCTTATATCTTGGAGTGGCTTGTTTATGTTTTCTTATATGTATTTTATGGTTTCAGGTGTTACACTCAAGTCTTTGCACTATTTTGAGTTAATTTTTTGTGTACAGTGTGAGGTAGTGTTCTAGTTTAATTCTTTTACATGTGGCTGTCCAGTTTTCCCAACACCATTTGTTGAAAAGGTTTTCCTTGCTCCAGTGTATATTCTTGGCCCCTTTGTTATAGATTAACTGTACTTGTAAGTGTGGGTTCTTTTCTGAGCTCTCATTTCTATTCCAATGGTCTGTGTGGCTTTGCTCTGGTACCATACTATTCTGATTATTATAGCTTTGTAGTATAGATCGAAGCCTGGGAGTGTTGGCTATTCATTGTCTTTTGTGGGTCCATATGAATTTCAGTAATATTTGTTCTATTTCTTTGAAGAATGCCATTGTAACTTCGATAGGGGATTGCTTTGAATCTGTGTATTGCTTTGGGTGAGATGGCCATTTTGACAATGTTAATGCTTCCAATCCAGGAGCAGGGAATATCTTTCAACTTATTTGTGCCAGCTTCTATTTCTTCCTTTTTTTTTTTTTAAGATTTGTTTATTTATGCATTCAAGAATGGGGGTACAGGCCAGAGGTGTGGGCGTGAGAGGATTCATCAGAGACAGCGGGGAACAGAACAGACAGACTGATTGAAATACGCTGCTGAGGGGAGCAGCGGGCGAGACAGGAGAGGTCTGCTGCACCATATGGGCAGCTCCCTGGCCAGCCAGGGATCAAACTCGTGCTGCAGCACATAGCTTCATAGTGCTATGCTTAACCCTTTGCACCACCAGGGAGGCCAAGCTTCTATTTCTTCTAACGATGTCTTATATTTTTCTTTGTTGAGGTCCTTTATCTCCTTTGTTAATATCGTTCCTAGGTATTTGGTTCTTTTTGACTGTAAATGGGATTATTTTCTTGATTCTTCCTCTTCTAGCTCATTGTTTGTACACAAGAAGGCAACTGATTTTTTGTATTGATTTTGTAACCTATCACTCTGTTGAAATGATTTATTGTTTCAATTTTTTAGTGAAATCTTTAGGATTCTCTGTGTATATTATCTTATAATCTACAATAATGATAGCTGTACTTCTTTCCCAACTTAGGTTCCTTTTATGTTCTTTTCTTGCCTAACTGCTCCAGCTGCAACTTCCAGTACTGTGTTAAGTAGCAGTAGTAGTGAAAGTATACATCCTTTTCTTGTACCAGATCTTAGTGGAAAAACTTTCATTTTTCACCATTAAGTGTGATGTATTTGTGGGCTTGTCATACATGGCCTTCATTATGTTGTTGTATGTTCCATCTGTCCCATTTTGTCAAGGGTTTTCATCATACGTGCATGCTGAATCTTATTAAATGTTTTCTCAGCATCCATTGATACGTTCATAAGATTTTTTATCTTTCCTTTTATAAGTGTGGTTAATTATGTTGATTTTCAGATGTTGAACCATCTTTGTGTTCCCGGAATAAATCCTCTTCATCATGGTGAATAATAATTCCTAATGTATCGTTGAATTTGGTTTGCTAAGATTTTGTTGAGGATTTTTGGGAAAGAAAGTTTCAGTATCTTCATTTTGTTGCCTTTCCAACAGCAGGGCAAACTACTTTACTTTTACTTCTGTTTACTCTTTTTCCTTAAAAAAGAGAATATAGTTTAACCTTTTACTCAATTTTAGGAATCACCTAACAGTTGTATATTCTTATCTCTTCCTTTCCTCTTTAGCTGGATTATTTCGAAGCAAATTCCAGATTTTATCATTTTACGGTCTTAAATATTTCAGTATGTGTCTCAAAGAAAAGTAGATTTTTCTTAGTAACCACAATGTTATTTTCCTGCCTCATAAAATTAACAGTAATTCCCTGATATAATCTAATACCCAGTCTGCATTCACATTTCCTCACCTGTCTCAGATTTGATTTGTTTGGATAAGGATCCAAATAAGGTCCACTCATTGTCTTTTACTTGCTATATCTCTTAAGGCTCTAATATATTTTTCTGTTTGGGTCCCCTGCTCTTATTTTCAATTCATGCATTTGATTTTTTAATACTGGATCAGTTCTGTAAAATGAACGACATTCTGAATTTTTCTCATTTTTCCTACTTGTGTCATTAACTTATTCTTCTATTTCCCATAGTTTCTGTAAGGCTGCAATTCAACCCAAAAGCTTAATTAGATTAAGGTTCAAGTTTTGTTTTTTGACAAGAAGCCTTTAAAGATACTGTGCGTTATATTTTGCATCATATTAGTGAGCACATGTTCCTTTTATTTTTTCTTTATGCTAAAACTGTCGTTTCTAAAATTAATGCCTTATTATTATCCCATGTAGTGCTGCTTAGAAAATGAAAGTTTGTATTTCATTATTTTTTTTAAAGATGTATTTATTTATGCATGCAAGAACTGGGGCACAGGTCAGAGATGTGGGGGGTGAGAGGATTCACCAGAGACAGAGTCTGGAACAGAATAGGCAGACTGAATGAAATACACTGCTGAGGGGAGCAGCGGGCAAGATAGGAGAGGTCTGCCTCGCCATGTGGGTTTCTCCCTGGCCGGCTGGGGATCGAACTCGTACTGCAGAGGCTGCGGATTGCTTCATAGTGCGGTGCTTAACCGGGCCACCAGGGAAGCCCCTGTATTTCATTATTCTTTAATTGTAAATATATTTGATATTTAGCTGAATGAAAGAAATTTTGAGGAAGTATCATGGTTCTGATAAATTCCTGGTTATTTTAACTGTTATGTACCACCCATATGACCTGATAATTTGTATTGCTCTTCATTTGTGTTTTTATAAAATATTGTTTCTCTGTATACTTCACTTCCAGGCTTGCAGCTTCAGGAAGTATTAAAGTTGAATTTTTTGTTGCTCTGAGTATTTTTGTTCCTATTAAGGTTGAAAACTTTTGTTTTTTTGTTTTTGTCTTTTTTACATGAAATAGGTTAATGGTGAAAAGAATGAAAAAAATGAAACAACAGAGAAAGGTAAGTATCCACAGAAATGGAGAGTTCTTTTAGGTTATTAACCATGGTCTTGTTTTAATCAGAATAAACTTTAGAATTTGTACACTGAGCTTCTTAACACTGTGCCTAATGTGTATGTAAACATGACCATTTTTCCTACAATTATATTGAAAATGTGTTCTGTATTTATAAATCATGTGAATATTTATGGTATTTTGCAATGGAAAGCATCAATGCTAGTTTGTACAGGTCATTGTTTTCATTTCAAGATGCAGTTTTACGCAGTATTTCAGAACCTGAACACTGAGAAGTCAGAATGCCTGGGTTTGAATAGTCTCTCTGAATGACCATGTGATCTTGAGCATGTTATTTACCCTTTCTACCTTAGTTTCCCCATCTGTAAAGAAGGAATAATAGTTATTGTGAGGATTGAATGAATTGATATTCATGAAGCATACAGTAAATTTTAGGTAACTATTAACTGTTATTTATGACTAGGTTATAGACTCAATTAAAGACCTCTTCACTCCCCTTTAATCTAAACCAATAATTTGCATATTAGATTTTATTTTTATTTTTTTAATATTAAATTTTATTTTTATATTCCCCCATACAATTGCAAACGCCCCATTCTGACCCCAATCCTTCCCCTCCCGCCCCTCACCCCCCAAAAAGTGTCTCTGGTTCATAGTTTTTTGTTGATTTTGATTTTCACTTTCTTATATTCATTTTCCTGGTCCCTTATTTAAGTTTTCTAGATTCCTGCTATGAGTGAGACCATCCGGTATTTTTCTTTTTCTTTTTGGCTTATTTCGCTGAGCATGATCCCTTCCAGCGCCATCCATGTTGCTGCAAATTGCATGTGTTTATCTTTTTTGAATGCTGAGTAATATTCCATGGTATATATGTACCACATCTTCTTGATCCAGTCATCTATTTTTGGGCATTTGGGTTGTTTCCAAAGCTTAGCTATTGTAAACAGTGCTGCTATAAACATAGGGGTGCAGGTGCTCTTTGGAATTGATGTTTCTGTGTCCTTTGGGTAAATACCTAGGAGTGGAATTGCTGGATCATATGGAAGCTCTATGTTTAGTAGGTCCAGAAATCTCCACACAGCTCTCCATAGTGGTTGGACCAGTTTGCACTCCCACCAACAGTGCAGAAGAGTTCCTTTTTCTCCACATCCTCGCCAACATTTGTTGTTGCTAGTTTTTTTAATATGTGCCATTCTCACTGGTGTGAGATGGTATCTCATGGTAGCATATTAGATTTTAATCCACATATAAGATTTAGGCAGTTGCCTGTTTTCTTCTCTCAGAAAAGGTTTAACTTAAATAGTAATTGTATGTTACACTAAAACAAATTCTCTATTTAAAATATTGCTACACAGTCAAAACAGGGATGAGAAGAGCACAAGGGACTGTGGTGATTGTATACAGGTGAATTGGTGGTGGGAATTTCACAGGGACTACACCTGAGAGGAGAAAGCATACACTGTACAAAAATGAACAGTGATGTAAAATACATATGTAATAAAATATATTCACTTAAAAATAAATTGCTACACAAAAATTGGAAAATAGAAAGTTTCCTTCCTATAGCTATTTCCCATTCATTTTAAGATTAGCTTTTATCCAGAGGATCTATTTAGTTCATTCTGCTTAGATGTACTATTTTCAGAGGTTTGTTCTCAACTTGTTTTATTTTTTTGTTGTTAGAATCATTCTGATGAGGGAAGTAGGAATGTTTTTGGCTGGTTTTATAACTTAGAAGATACTGTTACTTCCTTCTCCGAGCTCATTATTAAAGCAGTTCTTTAGATGTTTAAGCTCCCTTTCAGTGCCTTTTAATCTTTCATGGTAGGTAGTGAAAGCTGAAAAAAGAAAATGGCAGTGTAAGAATTATTTACTTTGGTTAAATATTAGTTAGTGCCCCCATGCTTAAAATATTTACTATAGTACTTGAATCTGCTATTCAACTCTGCTATTATAGTGTGAAAGTAGTCATAGACATAGACGGTATATAAACAAATGACTGTGGCCATGTTCCAGTAAAAACAGGTAGTTACACAGTTTGCCAACCCCTAATGTGGAAAGCAAATAACAAACTTTTGACTTGTTATTCTAGAAATACTTGCAAATATCAGTTTTTCAAGTAGTCTCCACGAAACCCTATCATAGGGTTTTTAAAAAGAACTTAGAACCTTTTAAGAACTTTTGAACCACAAATGTTTCTTCAGATTAAATTAAAAAAAAAAAAAACAGAAAAGGAATATTGTTAAGAGACACACTTACTAATTTCCTTTTAAAATCCCCACAGTGCTAACAACAGATGTAGTTGTAACATCATTCAACAAGTTTTGATATTTTAAGTCTTTATAAATAGTACATTGGTCTAGTTTCTTTATAAATGTCAAAAACACATAATTAGTGTTAAAGTAATAAATAGCAGGTATGCTTCACTCCTCTAGAAAAAGCTGTTAGTCCTGTATTTAGTGGTAAAATAGCACAGGGAACTGGGTGTTTCTTGTCTCTTATCTTGTCTCGTGATTTCAAGGAGCAATCACAGCAGAGGAACTATACACAATGATGATGGATAAAAACATCACCTTGATTATAATGGATGCTCGAAGAATGCAGGATTATCAGCATTCCCATATTTTAAATTCCCTCAGTGTTCCTGAAGAAGCCATCAGTCCAGGGTGAGTCACTATGTATTCAGATAAAATGGTAAAATCTGACCAGTAGTAAATCTCACTGCTTAGCACCCAAACTAAATGTGATAGTCTTTTCCTATTGACTGACTGATAGTCTTTTCCTATTGATTGACCTTTTTATTGTTTGCTCTTTGGTAGCACATCTTATCCTTTCTGAAGGGTAGTATAAAGGACCATACCAGTTAGACATTTTTTTGCTATCTCTTTTTTTGAAGTCTTATTAGAAGAGAAATGAAGCTGATTTGTGTGCTCTCTCCCCGAGGTGTTAACTTATTTTTCTTGCAATTTTCTGTTTATGAACTTGTGAAACACATGAACCATATTGACTATAATTATGAACTTAATTGAATTTTTTGTTTTTGTAGTTCCCCATACTGTTATTTGTGGTAAAAGATTATACAAATAACTTTTTAAAGAAGAAACAATATAACTTATGTGATGAACTAGTCTCTAAAATTAGACTACATTCATGTTGTAACTGTCTCTTATTAGCTTCATTGTCTCGGCAGTTTTGAGAAGTTTAGATGAGAAAATGTATATGTATACAAACACTTAACAGTGCCTGGTGATAGTAAGGATATACTAAAATTATTTACTCTTGTTTGATAAGAAGACCTTAGCTTATAAAATAATGTAAAGTTACTAATATTGATATTACAAAACACCATAGAGCTAAACACAGAGCTAAAATTTCAGATCCTAGGTTATTTTCAGTATTTCAGATGTCATATAAATCATATGCCTTCTCTGGGTCTTACTGGATGAAGTTGGGTTGTTTAAGATTTATGGCATGTTTTAGGACTAACTTAACATTAAAAAGATATATTTTTTAAATTAAGTAGTAAAATTACCATTGATTTGGGGGGCATATTGCAGATGCTTGGTAAATGTTTGACCTGAAGAAGAGTATGCTTTGAAAACAGAAATAAGATTAGCATTCTTAGTCTAATCGTGTATGTATTGGTGAATATATTCCAAGGATTTCAAAAGATAAAGCAAATTATAATTAATCTTTGGATAGTCTAATCTCTGCTATTAGAAAGCTGGTAATCTTGAGTTTAAATTCCCTGTTTGCCAAAATAGGAGATTTGGACTACTATGAAACCATAAGATGATTGTATACTGACTATTAAAGAACAATAAATTGCATGCTGAGAAAATTATTCTGCTTTAATTTCTGTTTCAGTCCTAAATTAAATGAAGTCAACAAATAACAAAAATGAAAAAAGGTCTCAGTTTGGTAGAAATAATTTTTTTTTTTTTAAAGATTTACTTATTTATGCATACACAGCCGGGGTACAGGCCAGAGATGAGGGGGGTGAGAGGATTCACCAGAGACAGAGTGAGGAACAGAACAGGCAGACTGACTGAAATACACAGCTGAAATACAGTGAGGGGAGCAGTGGGCGAGACAGGAGAGGTCTGCTTCGCCACGTGGGTTGCTCCCTGGCCGGCTGGGGATGGAATTCATGCTGCAGAGGCTGCGGATTGCTTCATAGTGCGGTGCTTAACCCCTTGCGCCACCAGGGTGGCCCTGGTAGAAGTAATTCTTAATGTTTCCTGATCTCCTCTCTTACCAGAGAGTAGTCTCAGAGTTTCCTTTAGGCAGCAGTATCTATAGCTAGCTGACGACTATATTTTTTCCTGGTCTGGTTGTAAATTTTAATATGGTACTTTAAAGATATAAAAGCATTCCTAAGTATTCAGCCCAGTGAATTTTAAAGAACAGAACATACCTAGTTAATTAGCATCTAGATAAAGAAACAGAACATTACCATCACTTGAAGAAGCCCCTGATGTGCCTCATCAGTTATAACCCTTATCCTCACCAGTCAAGGGAACCACCAACTTCTACCAGAGTAGATTTCTTTTCCTAATTTTGTACTTTGTATAAATTGGATCATACAGTCTATTGTCTCTTCATATAAATTGAATCCTACAGTCTGTAGTGTTTTATGTATGACTTCTTGTACTCAAACTTATGTTTGTGAGAGTCACCTGTAGTATTGTGAGTAATTGCAGTTCAGTTATTCTGAATGCTATCTGGTGATCTATAGTGTGACTAGCAAATTTTACTGATGTTATAATTATTTTTAGGATTACCCTCTTAGTTAGATTTGATCCTGTTTTTTTATGTAGAAGGAATATAAAATTTCCTATTAAAATTAAGATCGGGCCTCCCCTGGTGGCGCAGCGGTTGAGCGCTGGGCTGCGAAGCTGCCCGCAGCCTCTGCAGCGCCGGTTCGATCCCCGGCCACCGGAGGAGGGTCCCACATGGCACACAGACCTCTCCTGCCGCCCGCTGTTCCCCTCAGCAGTGTATTTCGTCAGTCTGCCTGTTCTGCTCTCCACTCTGGCCCTGGTGAATTCTCTCACCCTCCCGCACTTCTGACTGTGCCCAGTGCTTGTATAAATAAATAAATAAACAAATAAATAAATAAATAAATAAATCTTTAAAAAAGAAAGAAAAACAACCAGATCGATGCTGTGTTCTGTCCCTGAGGCCTGGGTTGCTTATCACCCAGGTGCCCCCCCCAAAAAATAAAATAAAATAAAAAAATAAAATTAAGATCACTTTCAACTAAATAATCTAGTAAATATTTAAAATAGATGTAACAGAACAGAATTACAGTATCTTATCAAGAGAATACATGAAAAAATGGCTTTTGGGAAATACTAGTTGATACTACTTTTTCCCACAGTGTTTCTGCTGAATAATAGTCCTGAGAGTATTTAGGCAAATATATTCCTTAAGAATATATTTCAGTTTTTTCTCATTCTTCATTGACCAAACATCTTTTTGATATTTAATATGAAAATTAAATGTCTCATTAAATGAACAGTTTTTTATAGTTCTTCTATTTCTCTTTACTTCTTGGAATATATAGGACCAACATTGTATCAATAGCATCAGGAATTTTCCTTCCAAAGATTCTATTTTTATTTTATTTATTTTTTTTAAATTTTTTTTTTTAATAGAGTCATGTTTTATTTATTTGTTTGTTTTGTTTATACATGCACTGGGTACAGTCAGAAGCGCGGGAGGGTGAGAGAATTCACCAGAGCCAGAGCAGGGAGCAGAGCAGGCAGAAGGACCGAAGTACACCGCTGAGGGGAGCAGCGGGCGGCAGGAGAGGTCTGCACGCCATGTGGGACCTTCCTCCGGTGGCCGGGGAGCAGCCGGGGATCGAACCGGCGCCGCAGAGGCCGCGGGCAGCTTCTCAACCCAGCGCTCAACCGCTGCGCCACCGGGGAGGCCCTCCAAAGATTCCAAATGATTTAGTTTTACTTATGAATAAAAGTTTCACCAGTCATGCCCAACTTGCAAGTATCGTCAATTCAATACTGAAATGCCTACTGTATAAAAGTGCTTTGCTAGGAATAATATGGAGTTCCTCACCTGGAAGGACAAATCTGTATTACTTATTCAATCATTCAACAAGAATCCACTGAGCATTTACTGTGGCCTAGGTTATTATGGTTCCAAGTGCTGGAGCTAATTCACTGAACAGATACAAATCTTTTTCTTTGTGAAGCTTACATTTTTTTTAGGAGAATGGGATAGGTGAATCAGGCAATGAAAGCTGTTATTAAGTGCCCTAGAGATATGTGTGAAGTGTATAGTTTCCCCCTTATCCATGGGATATGCATTCCATGACCATCTCAGTGGATGCCTGAAACTGCAGATAGTACCAAACCTTATATAAACTCTGATTATTTTCTTTAATGATTAAGTGGAGAACTTTAAACTTTTCACTTAAAGGAAGCTCTTTACAGCTTCTCTTTGGCATACCTAGATTGCCAGCATTTACTAGTCTTTAGTGCCATTATTAGGTAAAATAAAAGTGTCCTTGAACACAAGCACTGCCATACCACCATCGTGGATTGATAAGGAAGAGAGCTACTATGTGACTAAGAGGCAGCCTAACAGGCAGGTAGCCTTCAGTCTGGATGTAGTGGAAAAAAGGATGATTCATGTCTCAGGTAGGTTGGAGCAAGATGGTTTGAGATTTCATCATGCTGTTCAAAACAGCTTATGAACTTAAACTTATGAATTTTATTTCTGGAATTTTCCATGTAATATTTTTGAACTGCGTTTAACCATGGAAGGTGAAACCATGGAAAGTAGATAAGGGGGGGGAATATTGTTTGTTGGGCCTGGTATTCAGATTTTAATCTAGAAAAGCTACAGTGAAAAGTACTTGAGCAAATCTTAAAGGAGATAAGGGATATGAGTGATACAGGTATCTGAGGGAAGAGGGGTCCAGATGGTGGAGACAGCAAGGCAAAGGCCCTTAGGCAGGAGTGTGCCTGAATAACCAGGAGTAACTAGGACTTCTTTGCTAGAGTGAAGTCTTCTGATTGGAGATGAGGACATTGAGATAATAGGATATGCAGGAGGGACCATGTGGCAGGCCCATTGTAAGAACTAGCTTTTTAAGTGAGCAAAGGACTGGCCCTGGAACTTTGGTGGCGGGTGAGTAAAAGCATGTGCCTATGTTAAGGTGTGACGTTGTGCTTCCTGAATTATATAGTTATGTAAATGGATGGTCAGTTAATAAAATTTGATTAAAAAATAAACAGGAAAAAAGTGAGCAAAGGATGAAGTGAGTGGCATACTTTAATGTGTAGCTGGTGTTATTCAAAGTTGATAATCTAGTAGGCAGTGTACAAAGCAACCAAGGCCAGATTGCCCAAGAGTTAATTCTGGCTTCACTGGCTAGGAAATAACACAGGTAACTTACTTCTTGGTACCTAAGTTTCCCAATATATAAAAAGGGGGTAATAGTGCTTTGCTTTCTAGGAATATTGTGAGGATTTCGTGAAATTCAATGAGAATAAAGTGGTTTTTTAAAAAAATTTTTATTTGTTGTTTATGCATACAAGAATTGGGGTACAGGACAGAGGTGCATGGGATGAGGGGATTCACCAGAGACAGAATGGGAAACAGAACAAGCTGACTGACTGAAATATACTGCTGAGGGGAGCAGCAGGCGAGGTAGGAGAGGTCTGCTGCACCATGTGGGTAGAACCCTTGCCAGCTGCGGATAGCTTGAGAGTGCTGTGCTTACCCCCTTGCACCACCAAGGAGGCCTAAGAATAAAGCATTTAGTAGAGTAACTGGCACACAGTAAATAAATGTGTTTCATTAAAAAAATATTCTGGCATTTGTCTATTAATTATATAGTTATAAAAAAAAACAAAATAGAAATAATAGTACCCAGGTGATCCTTTAGTCATTTATATTTTGCTGAGAGAGGTGCTCAAATGACTTCATTTGTTTTCAGTTTTGGCCCCTTTGTGGTCGAAACTTGAGTTAAATATTTTAGGCTATTTACAATCTTAGCATATTAGAAAGGAATCTATCAAAGTTATACAGAGTGATGTTATACAGAGTATAGATGTGATGTTATACAGAGTATAGAATACTTGTATTAGTATATTAGAATATTCTTGGAAACTTCTGCCCCACTAAAAATATTAATAAATTTCAGAGTCACTGCTAGTTGGATTGAAACAAAACTCCCAGATGATTCTAAAGACACTTGGAAGAAGAGGGGAAATGTGAATTATGTGGTACTTCTTGACTGGTTTAGTTCTACAAAAGATTTACACATTGGAACAACTCTACGGAGTCTGAAAGATGCACTTTTCAAGGTCAGCAATTTCCTATTTATTGTAATTGCAAGCCTTATCTGGTTGTTAGAAAGGTGTAGTCACTAACTGTTTATTTTAAGGTCAAGAAGAGCCATCATATTCTGGTTGTAGAGTTTTTTTTCTTAGTTTAGATTTTAAAAGATTACATTTGAGTCACCAAATTAAAAAAATAGGTCTTTATAAAACAGGACATTAGAATTTTCAGATATATAAATGAATTTGTTTTAAGAATTAGACTATGAAACAAAGGCAGAGGAAGAAGTCACTAAAGAAAAAAGACTGATAGATTGAATTTGATAAACACTTTGAATTAATACCATGAGATTACAAGGCAGAAAACAAACCAAAAAATATTTACAACAAATGTGGCAGTGGTTTAGAACATCTAAAATCCAGAGAACTTTTTTTTTTTAATATAGTATTTATGGAGCAGTGAGAATCTTCAGGCTCTGCTGGTAGAACTATATATTTTTTTTCAAGATTGAATTATTTATGCATACAAGAGCTGGGGTACAGGCCAGAGATGCAGGCCAGAGACAAAGCCGGGAGCAGACCAGGCAGAAGGACTGAAATACACTGCTGAGGGGAGCAGCAGGCGAGACAGGAGAGGTCTGCTTTGCCATGTGGGTTTCTCTCTGGCCGGCCGGGGATTGAACTCGTGCTGCGGAGGCTGCGAATTGCTTCATAGGGTGGTGCTTAATCCCTTGCGCCACCAGGGAGGCCCAAATCCAGAAAACTTTAGTAAATAATAAGATCGTTATTTAATTTAAGTGGTGGACACAGACAGACATGAACAATAGAGGAAAGGCAAATGACAGAAGTATAAAATATCCAGCTTTATTAGTAACCAAAGAAATGCAAATTGAAACAGTGAATGCCATTTTCTCTGATCAGATTTACAAAGCTAAATAATGCTTTTTAATTTTTTAAATCATTAAAGCATTGCATGATGGTAGATGAAATTAAAACTTACTTGAGCAGTAGGGCAATTGATGTAGCATTGCCCTCCAGTAGAACTGTCTTAAAAGCCTCAAAATAATTTATGCTTTAAAATAGGGAATAGTAATAAACCCAAGTATAACATGATGTGTGAAACTGCCAATATTCAGTAGTTTTGACATACAAATTTGGCAATTTTATAAATTCCAACCTAAGACATGAAAATTAAGTGTATGATGAATATGATATAAGAAATCAGTGAGGAAAACAAAATAGATTGTAATGAATGGATTGGGTACAATTGGCTAGCCAGTAAGTAAAGTGAATCCCTACTTCAAAGTAAAGTGAATCCAAATAGGCAAAAGCTAAATATGTAGATTGAAACAGTAAAGTGTGAGAAAAATATTGGTAGATATTTTTATATCATGATCCCAAACCAAGGTGTCATAAAGGAAGACCAGTATACTTAACTTGTTAAAAACACCATAAATGAAGTAAAAATTCGGAAAATATTTGTAATATATACATGACAGAGCTACTTTTCCTTAATATTCCAAGTATATTCACTGTTTACAAAGAAAATTGCAAACATCTCAGAAAAAGATGGGCAAAGGATGATATTAGTTAAGCCATAGAATATAAATGGTTAATAAACATTAAAAGATGTTCAACTTCACTAATAAAGAAATGCCAAGTAAAACAAGGTAGGATTCAGTATCGACTGGTTTGGTAAAAATGTAAAGATTTATAATGGGCATTCTCATACACTATTGGTACTTGTGTGAATTGGTATCATATTTTTGAAAGGCAATTTGATAGTAACAGCTAAACTTTCAAATCAGCAGTTCTACTTCTAGGAAGTTATCCTACAGTAATACACATATATAAACTTTTTTTTTTTTTATAAACTTCTAAAATCACAGATTCCTAGTGTGGTTTTAAAACCCTTCCCTGAACATCTGTTTAATGCTGAATTTTGAATTCAGTTCTCTCTCTCTCTTTTTTATCATTTAGAAGATGAATGTTGTCTTCGGGGAATCAATTTAAAATTCAGGTTTGTTGTGTTTTTAGCTGTCAAAAGACTGCTGCCATATTAAAAATACTATTTCCTTAATTTATAGTGGGAAACTAAAACTGTCCTGCGCAATGAGCCTTTAGTTTTAGAAGGAGGCTATGAAAACTGGCTCCTTTGTTATCCCCAGTACACAACAAATGCAAAAGTCACTCGACCTTCACGAAGCAAGAATGAAGAGGTGTCTATCTCATGTATGTATGTGAAATTTTTTTTTTTAAATTGGTTCAGTTCCTGGCCACAAGTTGGAGGAGAGCTACAGGTGGGGTGGGCAGGGAGCAGGCACAGGTCTGCTTTGCTGTTTGTCTTCCCAGTTGTTTCTACATGTTTTTCATGGTTTGAGCACTTTATGAAGAATAAAAATTCACATACAGAAAAAAAGAATAGGTTTGGTAAAATGCACTATAAAATTATTTATGTTCTCAGAGTAATGTTTATGGTTGTGTGTGCATTTGTCCTGTTAGATTGGAGTTTGTTTTCAGGCATAACAAGTACAAGATGCATACCACTTGGAATTTAATGTTTAGTTCTTTAAAACTATTATGGTCACACTTCATATAGTTTACATTATATATGACAGGCATGAGATATGTAAGTACTATTGAGGGTTTTTAAATAATTATCATTATTTTGGGGATTTTAGTGGATTTTACTTATCCCTCACTGGAAGAATCAGTTACTTCTAAACCTACTGCCCAGATGCCACCTCCTTCTATAGAAGTAGATGGAAATGCAGAATTGATAAATGATCAAGATGAGAGAATGGGACCACTGAATATACCAGCTCCAGTTGAACCAATTGCAGCTTTTAAATCTGATATTCCATCCATAATTCATCCAGTGCCTATTTTAAAGAATATCCCTCAGGTATGGTCTTGATTTTCTATTAACTTTGTCTCTTCTGTTTTAATAATTTAGTCCTATAACCACAGCAATATTCGATTATGCAAAGAATTTCAAACCCAGCTAGCTGTTCATTTACCGCATGCGGACATAACAATAACAGATTGTATTTCCACCGTGAAACTGAACAAAACTTTTGTGGTTTGTTTGGTAATTTAACCTATAGAATTCCCAAATAGTGAGGTTTTAGATGATAGATAAGCATATATGCGTGTGATGTCAATATTTTGGTTTTGAAACTTTAGTTCCATTTCCTTAAACTTGACAGATCAATAACAGGCATAGCATATATATGTAATTATTTCAAAATTTTATTTTTTTTCAAAGATTTATTTATGCATACGAGAACTGAGGTACAGGCCAGAGGTGCGGGGGGTGAGAGGATTCACCAGAGACAGAGTGGGGAACAGAACAGGTGGATTGGCTGAAATACATTGCTGAGGGGAGCAGCGGGTGAGTCAGAAGAGGTCTGCTGCACCGTGTGGGTAGCTCCCTGGCCAGGCGGGGATCTGTGCTGCAATAGCTGTTGAGAGCTTTACAGTGCTGCAACTTAACCCCTTGCACCACCAGGGAGGCCCCTCTTTCAAAATTTTAATAACTAAGATATCACAATAAACATTTGCAGCTTTGTCTTCTTCGTAAAATTTTATTTAAAGGAAAGTTACCTGTTCTTGTGTGCATTTTCCAATTTTTTAGCATTTTTAATTTCCTCAGATACAGTTAAATTCTACTTACATGTAAAGTGGATGGCATTTGATTTATGGGGCAGGATATGAATAGAAAATTAAGTCATTTGTTAAAAAATGAGGCAGTTTGTTCATCTTTTAATTGTCTACTTTTAATATTTCAGACTAAATCTTAAACTATTTAACAACCTTCCTTAAAATGCAAGTGAAAGAATTTTAAAGAGATTTTTATTGTGCTTACTTTCAACTTAACTGATATTTGAACCCTAATCCTTTCTTTAAAACTTTCTAAGATATGTGTTATTTGTCAAGTATACTTTGAAAATTTTCTATATGAAAGACATCATGAGGTGTACAAATATGATTAAACTATGTCTCATTTTTAGGAGAAACTGATGCATAATTAGACAGAGGATAAGACAGATAGTCATGTCTGTAATAGTTTCTGGAGCATAGAGCAGGGAGAGAGATGCTGTCAAGAGGGATGTCAGGGAGGTCTTCATTGAGGTTATGAAAATGGGAGAAGTTAGAAAATTGTATGACTACAGGTCCTCAGCATGTGCTGTGGGACCTGTGACAAGTGTCAATGTGCTCAGACACTGCTCTCTCTTGGAGAGTGTCATAGTAGCTAAGGTTGAAGAGCCATCAGTAGAGACTTGATCAAATGGGAATTTTATCCTGGAAATAAGGGATACATTAAGCATTTTATCTCAGGTATAATATGATTATAGTTGTGATTTTAAGATTAGGAGAAAATGGATTGAATTACCAAAATGTGGGGCCTCCCCGGTGGCGCAGCGGTTGAGCATCGGGTTACAGAGCCACCCGCGGCCTCTGTGGCGCAGGTTCGATCCCTGGCTGCTCCCCTGCCACCGGAGGAGGGTCCCACATGGCGCGCAGACCTCTCCTGCCGCCCGCTGCTCCCCTCAGCAGTGTACTTCGGTCCTTCTGCCTGCTCTGCTCCCCGCTCTGGCTCTGGTGAATTCTCTCACCCTCCCGCGCTTCTGACTGTCCTCAGTGCATGTTTAAACAAAACAAACAAACAAACAAACAAATAAATAAAACATGCCTCTACTTTAAAAAATAAATAAATAAATAAAGAATTACCAAAATGTGGATGCAACACATTTATTGTTAATATTAGATTCAGACTAAATCTTAAGACTATTTAACATCCTTCCTTAAAATGCAAGTGACAATATTCTAAACATCTTTATTGTTAATATTATCCCTGTAGTGGTTCTTCCCACTTTTTTTTTTTAAGTGAATAGAAAAAATAGAATGATGAGTAAAAGGAGTAATAGTTCCTTTTTCACTAACTTGTTCCCGCATTAATGTTTTGTGATTCGTTTATATGATTACTATGCAGATTGTTACTAGGAGATAGTCTTGTAAATTCCCATTTTGTTTCAGTGATAAGTAGTATCCAGAAATGATGTTGGGGCACTTGTTAGTGTGCTGTTAAATTGAGGTTGTAGACATTTAATTCATTAAATCAGGAATTTAGATAGCTTATTACTTGACTACTATTCTGTTATTTCTAAGAGCGAAGAAAGATTTTAAACAAATAATCATAGTTATTTAATCAGAATCCCAATAAGTACTGTGAAGGGAGGAATAGGTTATGAAAGCATTATCTGAGAACTTAGCTAGTGTTAGGGGACAGGAAAGTCTTTTTCTGAGGGAGAGATAGCTAAGCTAGAACCTAATGTGATGGTGGGTATTATCTAGTATAAAAGCCTGAGTTGGGAAGGAATGTGATCTTTTTTGACAATGAAAGATAAAGTCTGATTATGACTGGTTTACTGAATTACTAGTATGAAATAACACTGGAGAAGTGGGAAGTGGTGACACACAAGGTCCTTATGGCCAGCGTAAGGAATTTCGATGTAATTTAAATACAGTGAGTGGCTACTTAAAATAGGTTTTAGCAGGTAAGGAACATGGTGAGATTTGTGTTTTAAAACAATAACTGGCTACAGTGTGGACAAATAGATTAGAAGGCAGGCAGAAGGAGCGAATTGGCAGCTAGTTGTAAGGTATAGAAAGAGGATGTTGGCATGGACTTGGTTGATGATAATGGAAAGAGGCCTTATGAAACTCAGGATTCTGGTTGGAGAAACTGGATAATGGTTCCATCCATGAGATAAAGACAGTGTTTTGGGGGGTGGGGCGGGAATGGGCATCATGAATTCAGTTTTGAACACTGGGTTTGTAGTGTATATGAAACACTCACAAGGAGATAGTGAGTAGCCAGTTGAATCAATTGGATATATAGAAATGGAACTTATCTGGGTATGTCCAGGTCTAGGTTTTGTGTTTTAGGTTGAACTCTTCTCAAGACAGAATGTAACAGGGTGAATTGAAAGTGTGGAATCTAGAGACGTAAGTATTAGTAGTGTTTGGCTCTTTCTTTTTCAAAGACCTTATGAGAAGTCTTGACATTGGGTAATTGACACAAGAACTTTCTGGCAGATGTTGTCTCAAACAATGACTTTTTCATGTTTTGTCACAACTTACCATCAAGAATTGAGGTGGTAACATTACTGGATTTAGGTAAAAATACTTTTTGCTCTGTTTTGGTTGTTACAGATTGATCGTACTAAAAAACCTTCAGTCAAATTGCCTGAAGATCATAGAATAAAATCTGAAAGTACAGATAAGGAACAACAGTCTCCTCAGAATGGAAAAGTTGTTCCTGATCGTTCAACAAAGCCAGCATTCCCCCCTCCAACTGCCATGTTAACAGATGAAGAAAAAGCTTTCATTCATGCAGAAACTGCTCTTCTAATGGAGAAAAACAAGCAAGAAAAAGAACTGCGAGAAAGGCAGCAAGAAGAACAAAAAGAGAAACTGAGGAGGGAAGAACAGGAACAAAAAACCAGACAGAAACAAGAAACTGAAGAAAATGAATTCACAGAGAGGCAACGAAAAGCAAAAGAGGAAATGGAAAGGAGAGAAAGTGAACAGACCAGGAAAGAAGAGAAAGAAACCTCAGCAAAGAGGGGCAGAGAAATAACAGGAGTAAAAAGACAAAGTATTAGTGAACATGAAACTATTGATGCCAAGAAGTCTGTGGAAGACAGAGGGAGGATGTGTCCAACTCCAGAGTTGCAGAAAAAGTCCACAGATGTGTCCCCTGCCTCTGTGACAGATTCAAATTCAGGCAAGGTAAAGACAGAAACAAACAATACAAATTGCCAGCTCTGTGAGATAAAATGTACATAAAAAGATGACGGTAGTGGTATTTCACAAACAGCATAAACATTTTAAGTAGTTTTCTATGGGTTGTCAGATTTGTATTCATTCATCTACATTTGCTCATCTACTCTCCTTTGAGATTGGAATTTCTTTTTGTGTGTATGAAATGCAACATAGTTTTAATTCTTTAGTTACATTCTTCATGTATGATGTATCATCCAAAAACTAGAGTAAAAATATCATCTCTCTCAGTATGGAAGAATTAGGTGCCAATATTTATATGATAGGTTTTATATCTACTTAGATTCTTTCCAAAATCAGTGGCATACACATTTTACATTTATCTTTGTGTATGTTTGCTGTTTGTTTTTTTAGTCATGTCTCAGACATTTTTTTTGTTGCCTAATGAAATAATAAATATCTGCCATAACCTCATTAATGTTGCCCTTGTCTATACCCCAAAATTGAGTACCACAATTTGGGGAACATATTTTTTAGCCTATGCTATAGCATGTTGTTATTCATTTCCCACAGTGCCTTTTCCTTTAGAATGTCAAATAAGTTTTTATAAATTTTCAATCTGTATTTTCAAGAAATGATGTTAGGGTCACGTCTAACCATTTTGTATGTTTACTTGGTAACATCAAGAATAGTTATAGTCCTTTTTATGTACATCTAAATGTAAATACTTGGTAATGTGAAAGTGATTATGTTGTGAAAGTGACTGATGGAAGGTGAAATATTTACAGGATGTCACTTTCTGTACTTCTCAGTTGTTCAGGAAGAACCAGAATTAACAATTCATATTAGTTCTGCACTTAACCCAGGAACACTTACCTAGTAACCTCAGCTATCAAAAGTATAACTCCTATGCAAAAATCTACTCGGCACTTAAATTAGGGAAATTAATCCTATGTAGTGAAGCTACTTAAAGGAAAATTAGAACGTACAGCTTTTATTTCGCCCCTCCGCCCATTATCTTGTTCCTCCCAATGGTAATTCCATGAATTACCATGAATTTCAAAATGTCATTCCATGAATTTCAAAATGTCATTGAAGTTGAGAGAATTTAAATAATTTGCCTAAGATTACATAGCCAATGAAATTCCAAAGCCCTTCCTTTTCATCTTGCTACAATTAGCAGGCAGTCTTAAGAACTTACAGTATTCCTATTCCTGTAGTCATTTAGTAGAGGTGTCAAATTCCTACAAATCTAAATAGCTCCCAGACTATCATCCATGATTTTTCATGTTTCTCTGTTTTAACACAGAGGGAAAAAATATATATTTACATTCATTGTATGCTTCTTTTAAAAGCAGGCAAATGTGTGTGGTAACATATCTAAGAGGTTCAAATCTATTCCCCATTTCATAATATAGTGTTGCAAAACCAATGTTACCTCAATTAAAAATAAATAGTAGGCCAAAAAACCCCATTTTTTCCCTAAATTTTTACTTCACTGTATTTTTTAAATAAAATATGAAAATTAAAAATATAAATATAAAAATTAAAAATATAAATTATTTTAAAAAGTAAGTATTAGTGAATTTTTTAAGGAACCTGTTAGTTTCTAGGACAATATAAAATGGACCCTGTATTTTTAAATATTACTTAGTATAAAATACTGTCATTTCTTTAATACATTAATTTTTTTTTGAGAGTTGCCATTTTCCTGGTAACCTTTATCATTTCCTTGAGTAAAAGGAAGGTGTTCAAAAGAGGCCATGGTGAGTATATACTAGTGACTAACATCTTATACTTGGCCATGTATTAGGAATCTATGCTTTGCAGTCCAATGCAGTTTGCATGTTTTTCCCTATTCTGAGTCATCAAAATTTCTTCTTTATCCTTAGTGTTAGGAAATTCCATATGCATCTTTAATTAAAAGTACATTTTACAAGAGAATAAGTTTTCAGTGGACTTTATTTTTTTTTTTTACATTTTCAGCATGATGGATTTTATTGTGTTAACTAAGTTTATGTTGGGGAAAAGTTCACGTTTTCTTTCACATCTAAAATTTGTATGATTTTACAGGCTGTTAAGATTAAAGGACAACCAGAAAGTGGGAATCTAAAGACTGGAGCTTTTAGAGAGACTGTGGAGGACGCTGAAAGAAATAAAGTAAGTAGTTCTTTGGGTTGGAAAAAGGTTTATATGTTTAATTGTTATAACCATGTTGTTATCTTTACCTTATTATCTCCTCCAACTTGGGATCTACCTGAAGGATCTTTGCTGTCTTTGACACCTGTTTTCGTTTACTTTTACATCATCGATTCCTTCAAATGCTAAAGGAAATGGATGTTTATCATACTATTTTTTTTTTTTTTTAAATAGAGGCATGTTTATTTATTTATTTATTTGTTTGTTCTGTTTACACATGCACTGGGTACAGTCAGAAGCACGGGAGGGTGAGAGAATTCACCAGAGCCAGAGCGGGGAGCAGAGCAGGCAGAAGGACCGAAGTACACTGCTGAGGGGAGCAGCGGGCGGCAGGAGAGGTCTGCGCGCCATGTGGGACCCTCCTCCGGTGGCCGGGGAGCAGCCGGGGATCGAACCGGCGCTGCAGAAGCCGCGGGCAGCTTCGCAACCCAGCGCTCAACCGCTGCGCCACCGGGGAGGCCCATTTATCATACTATTTTTTTAAAGATAGATTTATTTATTTATGCATACAAGAACTGGGGCGTAGGCCAGAGGCATGGGCTGAGAGGATTCATCAGATACAGAGTGGTGAGCAGAACAGGCACATCTACTGAAATACACTGATGAGGGGAAGGGGGGCAAGGTAAGAGAGGTCTGCTGTGCCATGTGGGTTACTCCCTGGCCGGCCGGGGATTGAACTCGTGCTGTAGTGGCTGCGGATAGCTTGATAGTGCTGTCTTTAACAATCCTGCGCCGCCAAAGAGGCCCCTGTCATGCTATTTAAAATAAGTATATTTTATTCATTTTATGAAAGTCAAAAATATTTAGGTTTTACCACGTGATCCAGCAATTCTACATTTAAATATATACCCAAATAATTAAAAGCAAGGTCTTGGAGATGTCTGTATACACCCATATTCATAGCAATATTATTTATTCAAAATAACCAAAAGATAGAAGCAATATGACAGGTTGATTTAAAATGAAGGAAATTCAGATACATGCTACAACATGGATGAACCTTGAGCACATATGAGAGGTAAATCCTTTACAAAATGGAAAAATCACACAAATATTGTATGATTTAATTTGTATAAACCTATACAAATAGGTTACCTAGAGTAGTCAAATTCATAGAGATGGTTAATGAGTGGCAGTTGCCATAGGGAGACTGGAGATGGGTACGCAGTTCCAGTTTTGCAACATGAAGAGAATTCTGTAGCATGGTTACCCAGTGTGAATATACTAATGCCACCAGCCTATGCACTTAAAAATGGTTAAGATGACAAATTTTATATATATTTCATTATGATTTTTAAAATACTTGGGCCTTTTATAAGACATCTTTGCCTATGTTTTCATTGAAGAGCTATATTGATGTATAATTTGTACACTATCAAATTCACCCATCTTTTGTGTACAGTTCAGGGATTTTAGCTCAATGTTGTGAAACAATTTTGTACTCGGTCGAATTTTAGAAAATTTCCATAGCCAAAAAGGTCCCTGTGCCCAGTTGTAGTCATTTGTTTGTCCCACCCTCAAGCCCCTAACAGCTATGAATCTATTGTCTCCATAGACCTGCCTCCTAAATATTTCTTGGATATGTGTCTATAGAAGAATTTTCATAATTTGAAATTCATCCTTGTATCCTGGATCAGTTTTATTTCTCTGTATTGCTAGGTAGTATTCCATTGTGTGGATATGCTAGTCTTTTCATTCATCAATTCGTGGACATTTGGATTGCTTCTACTTTGGGGCTGTGTGCTGTTAAGAATATCAAATAGAATTCTTTTTTTTTTTTTTTTAATAGAATATCAAATAGAATTCTTTGTGTGGAAATATGTTCCTTCTTTTGGGTTAATAACGAAAAGTAAAATTATCTTTCTATTTTTTAAAGAAACATTGAAAAACCATTATATGCTTATATATATATATTCCTCCTTCATTTGCTGTGGTAGTACTTGGACTTTAAGAAAAACACATTGAGCTCTTTATCTCTCAACTTTTTTTAAAAAGGGGACCATGCAGGTTTTTCTGGTACAGGTTGGTATGTGGCAAAATTTAATTCAAAGATCTTGTTTTCCCTTAAACTAGGCTCAGCGAGAACCTTTGACAAGAGCACGAAGTGAAGAAATGGGGAGGATTGTACCAGGACTGCCTTTAGGCTGGGCTAAGGTAAAACTCAAAATTTGCGCAGAAATAAAGTAACATGATTACTGTGTTCTTTGGGAAAAAAAAAAAAAAAATCCAAAAACGTTTGTTTTACATGTGTAATATAGTCAGTGCTGTTTCTTCATTGTAGAGGACATAGCTGCTTCCCTAATTACAGTAGAGTTAGATTTCTCAATGAACCTGGGATGCTGGCTACAATATATGAGCATTTGTCATTCAGTTTATAACTTTAAAACCTAAAGTTTTGGAAAATTTTATAGAATTATCATTTCATTAAAATTATTTTAATTCAAAAGTAGGTTTAGCAATGGAATGCTTTTGAGTGATTTTTATTTTATAATGGTCACTGTTTTTTGACTTTTATTTTTTTTTTCCTTTCAAGTTTCTTGACCCAATCACTGGAACTTTTCGTTATTATCATTCACCCACCAACACTGTTCATATGTATCCACCGGAAATGGCTCCATCATCTGCACCTCCTTCCACCCCTCCCACTCATAAAACCAAGCCACAGATTCCTGCTGAGCGGGATAGGGAACCCTCCAAACTGAAGCGCTCGTACTCCTCCCCAGATATAACTCAGGCCATTCAAGAGGAAGAGAAGAGAAAGCCAGCAGTAACTCCAGCAGTTAATCGGGAAAACAAGTAAGTTTATCCTAACTCCTAGATCTAAATTATCTATATGTTCTACATTAAACATATCAGCTTTTTTTTTTTTTTTTTTTTTTTATTTATTTATTTATTTATTTATTTGTTTGTTTGTTTTGTTTGTACATGCACTGGGTACAGTCAGAAGCGCGGGAGGGTGAGAGAATTCACCAGAGCCAGAGCAGGGAGCAGAGCAGGCAGAAGGACCGAAGTACACTGCTGAGGGGAGCAGCGGGCGGCAGGAGAGGTCTGCGCGCCATGCGGGACCCTCCTCTGGTGGCCAGGGAGCAGCCAGGAATCGAACCGGCGCCGCAGAGGTCACCGGCAGCTTCGCAACCCAGCGCTCAACCGCTGCGCCACCAGGGAGGCCCAAAACATATCAGCTTTTTAATGTCAGGGAATCAGAAAATTCAGTGAATAGCTGTTGCCTCCATTGTTTACCACAGAGGAAAAAATGATTAAATGTCCTTGGTTTTTCTTCTGAGCACGGACTATAAGTATGTGTTAATGTAGCTATAAAAGCATGTGTACACATTTTAAGGCAGCATGCTATAGATTAAAATCTGGGGTCCCTTTGACCACCATAATTTATAGAATTGGTTATTCTGTTCACTAGTAGCCACCATTTGTTCATTTAAGTTTCCCAAAACATTATCTCATATTCCTGTCCCTTTTTTGAAACTCTCATGCTTATAATTGAGAAGTCTGCTTTTCAAGTCTACTTAGCACTTCTAATCTATACTTTGTTTCAGAGAAGGGGGGGAAGATTAGATATAAGTAGGTCATCTTTTTTTGTAACAAATAGCAAAAAAGTAGTTATTTTTTTCCTCCTGAGAACTTATCTATCTTCACAGATGGGGACTCTTTTTTAATTTGGCAATAAGATCTGTCAGTTAAGTTTTTTCTTAATGCTATAGCAGTTTTAGAACTCCCACATATAAACCAAATACACTAACAAAAGTCTTAGAGGCATTCTGTAGTTTAATGCTGTTTAGTACATCTTTCTATGATAGAAATCCTCTGTATTTGTGCTGTACAGTGTGACTATTTTGAATTGTGGTTGATATAACTGCGGAACCTTTAATTTAAATAACCACCAGGGAGTTCTGGACTTGAGGTAATAGTAGCCTGAGAACATCTGCCTCTGTTGCTACCTACTCCATAATATGCCTTTTTAAATTACCTATTTGGTATTCTAGTTAAGTGTAAACATTTGTGTGAAGTGCTGAGCTTTCAAGTTTGCTAAAAGGTGCTTGAGAGTCTTGGTTTCATGAAAGACCAGAGAACCTTTCTCAGGTTTTAAGAACCAAGGACCTGGGCCTCCCCTGGTGGCACAGCAGTTGAGCGCTGGTTTGTTCCTTGGCTGCCGGCGAGGGTCCCACAAAAAAAAAGAACCAAGGACCTATGTAAAAGGTTCAAGGTATCTGCTTCATAGAGGGTCAAAGAATGTAACCAATTACCTAGATATTAAATATTCTATAAGGCCCAGTACCTTATAGTAATGAGTTAACATTAACTATTTACAAGATCACCGTGGGCTGTGGCACAGATTCTAGAGTCTTCTCTCATTTGTAGGATGCATCTTAATTTCATTTACTGTGCATTTTAAGACATCTTTATATACCTTTTCATCCTCAGGCCAACATGCTATCCTAAAGCTGAGATCACAAGGCTTTCTGCTTCTCAGATTCGAAACCTCAATCCAGTTTTTGGAGGATCTGGACCAGCTCTCACTGGACTACGTAATTTAGGAAATACTTGTTACATGAACTCAATATTGCAGTGCCTATGTAATGCTCCACATTTGGCTGATTATTTCAACCGAAACTGTTATCAGGATGATATTAACAGGTGAGGAAATTTCATACTTTTTACAATATTAACATTAAAGCCATACTTCACCACCCAGCCCCAGAAAATTCAAATTAGGAAAGGGGAAAATTACTTAGAGGAAAGGACATACTGGAAAGGAGTAGTGAAAGAAGGCAAAACCATACTGTCATAAATTGCAGTCTGTTGAGTAAAAGATGGTGCAGACCTAGCAGCTAAAAAGGAGCGAGTTGAAGACAGTAAAAAACTAAGTATTTTAGAGTAGGATCATAGTATGAAGAGTTTAATATTGACATCAAGAACCCACTGTGCCTAGAATATAACTTTAATTTTATTTGCAAAGGTCAAATTTGTTGGGGCATAAAGGCGAAGTGGCAGAAGAATTTGGCATAATCATGAAAGCCCTGTGGACAGGACAGTACAGGTACATCAGCCCGAAAGACTTTAAAATCACCATTGGGAAGATCAATGACCAGTTTGCAGGATACAGCCAACAAGATTCACAAGAACTGCTTCTGTTCCTAATGGATGGTCTCCATGAAGATCTCAATAAAGTAAGACATTTAATTTTTCTACAGTGCAAGGACTTTTTTTGATTACTCAGCAACAATCATTTTTATAGAAATTTAACATTACAGTGCTGGTGGTGGGAAAACTATGGTGACCATACCTGAGGGGAGAAATCCTACATTGTAAAAAGAAAACACAAGGACATAAAATGATAAATCATTAAAATAAAGTACATTTGGTTCAGTTAGCTGGTTTATTGAAATAGGGGCTGTACTAAAATATGGAACTACAAAACAATCTCATTGATCTAGTATTAGAAAAGTATATACAATGTGCATTTACTTATACTTGCCTAAAATGTTAACAGGTTGTATTATTGTGAGAAATTTGTGAATGTTAAAATAGAGATGTTCAGGCTATTTTATATTATGTATATTATACTGTATACTTTTTTCTAAGAATTTTCACATAACCAAATGACTTGTGAAAAATAATCTATCCATTTGTCTCTACATAAATGACCACACTCCCATGTATATGCTGTCGCTTTTTAGCATCAAGCTGTTGACTTGTCCTGGGCTCATCTTTAGTTGTAGTGTCACCTCCCAGCTACATGTGGAATGTCTATTTTAAAAGCTTAAGAAATTCCATCAAGGGCCTCCCCGGTGGCGCAGCGGTTAAGCGCTGGGTTGCGAAGCTGCCCGTGGCCTCTGAGGCACCGGTTCACTCCCCGGCCACCGGAGGAGGGTCCCACATGGCGCGCAGACCTCTCCTGCCGCCCGCTGCTCCCCTCAGCAGTGTACTTCGGTCCTTCTGCCTGTTCTGCCTCTGGTGAATTCTCTCACCCTCCTGCGCTTCTGACTGTACCCAGTGCATGTATAAACAAAACAAATAAACATGCCTCTATTAAAAAAAAAAATTCCATCAAGTCACCACTCTTGATAATGTACCTTTAGGAGAGCAGGGAAGGTTGTCTAAAACTTTTGGTAACAAAACTTTCCTTAGGAGAACCAGAAGTGTTTCTAATTTCATATTTAAAAATTCTTATTTCCAGGCTGATAATCGGAAGAGACATAAAGAAGAAAATAATGATCATCTTGATGACTTTAAAGCTGCAGAACATGCTTGGCAGAAACACAAGCAGCTCAATGAATCTATTATTGTTGCACTTTTTCAGGGTCAATTTAAATCCACAGTACAGTGCCTCACCTGTCACAAAAAGTCTAGGACATTTGAGGCCTTTATGTATTTGTCTCTACCACTAGCATCCACAAGTAAATGTACATTACAGGTAAGTTCAAGATAGAAAAACTGATACTTTCAATAAAATGTTTATATGCATATGGACATCTACTTTATTCAGTAATTTATTTCTAGTATTTAACCATGTAAACACTTTACAGGTTAAAAGCACAAATTCTATTTTAATTAGGTCAGAAAAATGTATTTAAAAATGAACTCATATTTAAATTTGTTTTTTGAAAAGTTTTAATTTGGAAAATTGTATGATGAATTTAATTTAGGTCTGCATTTTATAAGAATTTGCCTCTACATGGAAATATGAAATAACATTTTTCACACAATAGAAGTGTGATCTGGGTGATTTGTGGTAACTATAGGCTTTGTGCACCAGGTAGAAAGGTAAAGGGTCAGTTCCTCTTGCTCTTAGGGCATGCAACACTCACCAGTCTCCTGTGTGTGTTCTTCACTAGATCATACACTTTGTGCAAGCAGGAGCTGTTTTATTCTAGTTTATTGTTGAATAAATCTATTTGTGTTTTTCTCCAGGATTGCCTTAGGTTATTTTCCAAAGAAGAAAAACTCACAGATAATAACAGGTTTTACTGTAGTCATTGCAGAGCTCGACGGGATTCTCTGAAAAAGATAGAAATCTGGAAGTTGCCACCTGTGCTTTTAGTGCATCTGAAACGGTAAAGGGGACAACTTGTTTTACCTGTTTAGTACCAGTGAGGGAATTCTGAATTCTTGAATGTTGTTGCCTACCAGTGATGCATAGTTAAGAAAAGTTAGGGTAGCTCTAGGAAAATAAGCAGAAACAATGAAACTATTAGTTCACCTTAGTGTTTGCAATAGAGCAAAATGACAATACACTATTTCCTGTAATTCTGTTTTTTTAAAAAATCAGTGAAACTTAAATATAAAACAATCATTAAAAGGTAAAAATCTTGTGCTGAATATGAAATGTGTTTTAAAAGTGTAATTTTAAAGATAATAAGTTAAATGATGCCATTGTTGACAGCAGGCATATTTTTGTCCAATTTTTTCCAGCCAGTGAGAAAGGTCTAGCTGTGTAATGGAAGAAGTAATGGTGAGGTAGATATAAAATATAGCCCATGTCTTCACACTGAATCTTTAGTCTGTGTGGAGTACAGATGCCTCAGTTATCACCCTGCCACTCAAGTTCTTTGACCTTGAGCAAGTCGCTATTGTTTCCACATCTGTAAAAGGAAAATGAAACCAAGTGTACAGGTCCTCCATTACTAAAATTCTTAATATTTGAAATGGATTGTTGTACTGTCCTAGCTAAAAATCTAGGTTGTTTAATGAATTTGGGTTTTCTGATGTCTGATCTGTCAGTGTAATTGCTGTAATATTTTGCTCTGCAGTTTTTCCTACGATGGCAGGTGGAAGCAAAAATTACAGACATCTGTGGACTTCCCATTAGAAAATCTTGACCTGTCGCAGTATGTTATTGGTCCAAAGAACAATTTGAAGAAATATAACTTGTTTTCTGTTTCAGTAAGTATCTCATTGAACTGAAAATACTTGTTCCTTCATGAGAAAAAACAGCGCTTTGGAATTAACATATTTAAAATAATTCAACTGAATTGATTTTCTGTCTTGTTTGGCACAGAATCACTACGGTGGACTGGATGGAGGCCATTATACTGCCTATTGTAAAAATGCAGCAAGACAGCGGTGGTTTAAATTTGATGATCATGAAGTTTCTGATATCTCCATTTCTTCTGTGAAATCTTCAGCGGCTTATATCCTCTTTTATACTTCATTGGGACCACGAGCAACTGATGTAGCTACATAAAGAGAAGTAGGTTATTAGCTAGTTAACTTTCAAAGGCTGAGCAACACAACTCTTGAAATGCTTACAAAGATATTGAATAGCTATAGCTGGCCATTAGGGGAATTCTAGGACAGTGGGAACTGTCTTACTATCACCATATATTTCAGGTCAGTGCTATTATCAAAAAACTGACTAATAACATGTAACAAGTATTGCAGTAAGCACTCCTTACAGGTACCATTTATTTCAAAACAACTTTTTTAGTCTGCTCCAAAGTTAAAGTAACTAGCTAAGCATTATTATTCTTCGGGCCTAAAACCCATTGTATCCTTTATTTTCTTTTTCACTGTATGGCCTTTTCATACTTCTAAAGCCCAGCTTGATCTACTATGAATACTCTAGAATGATGAAAAGCAGATAGGAATGTATGTGTATATATTTATTGCACACTTGCACATCAAATCGATGTACATAGTATAATACCTGGTTCATTTTTGAAGCCTAGAACTCAGAGGATTGCATTTTTTTCTTTTGGCCTATTCTGAGTAACAGCAGTGCTTTCTTAGGGAAATGACAGGGCAAAGCTATTTTCTGTTGGCTTTGGGCTGTATTTGTGCACTAAATCTTTACTCTGAAGAATAAATGGAAACTTTTCTTTAATTTTTTAAAATAAGAATTTTCATTTACACCTATATTAAAATCTTAATGAAAGAACTACTTAAAATCCTGTAAGTGTTCTGTCTTTAATGTTATGTATCTAACATAAGACAGTAGAACTACAGGTTTTATAGTACTACATCCACTTAAAATTTAGTTTGCTATTGTTATATCAGAACTGAATTCCACCATTCCTTCAACTTGACTTCAGAATTGCATATATAACTTAACAATTCTTAGAATTGGAAGTCAGTGTAAGATATAATAACTGAATACCTAGACTTGTTCTAACCGGAGTAGAATTCCTACACTTAACAGAAAAAGGAATAGGAGTCAAGCATGATTGCAAAGTGAAGTGCATTATGAATCATCTCTTTACAGATCGATGTATTAAGAGATAGAGCAACTTAAGGTTTATTTACCTTAGGACTCCGTGGCTAAAAATTAGGTCAATAACATAGGATCCTAAAAAACAATCTCAGAAGACAAAAGAATGGGATTTGAATCAGAGTTGACAGCTTTTCTTGTTCTGCATTAGTCTAAGATACTTAGAGCTTCTTGACTACATTATCTGATCAATTAGAGCCACTTGAACAAAAGTTACACAATTAAGATATTTAACTTATCTTTCAAAAGTTTGCCTATTATGCAAGAAAACAAATGTCACTGAAGCAAGCAAGAGTTTAATGACTAAGCAAAATCGAAGTACTAGTTTCTGATTGCTTGTTTTGCAAATTTCAGAAACCATGTTTCTAGCTCTTGCATTTTTGGATAGGTATAGAAAAGGGCTGGCAGCTATAAAACAGGAGATAGGCTGTAGTAGTTTGAACTGAAGTATCTGGAATCTCACTGACTCGTGTGTCATCAAAGCTATACCAGGCCTGGGTGACAGAGTTCTTGCAGAAAGCAGTGTAGTGGCCACCATCCAGATCACCAAAGTGGTTCTAGGAGAGGAAGGAATAGCAGACTTAGAATGTATGACCGTGCATACTAGCTATTAGAAAAGGCAAGGACCCCAAATATTTTCCATAACATTCTTATACTAAATTAAAAGGAAATAATTTTGTTAAATCACACATATAACCTGCCTACTGTATTTAGCATTTCATTAGAACTGCTCCTGTGTTGAGCCCACTTTTAATAGAATCTTTGAAAATAGGATATTTGGCACTATCTGAGTACTATCTATCAAATTAATACATTGAGCACTTACTGTACAGAGGCTGTTAAAGAAATATGTAAATTCAGACAGTCATCCTCCCTAAATGAGCTTATAGTTTAATTTTATAGATAGGCCAAAATAGACATTTAAACAACTGCATAATTTGAGACATTATCATCACCTAGGGTCCAAAAGAGAATTTTTCCATTCTGATTTCCCATGTCTTTCAACTTCCCTTTACTGGGTTAAGAAACGACAACATGGAGAGCCTCACTTCTCAAAAGGTGGTGTGATTAAAGCATGGGTTGACAAACCATGGCCGATGAGTCTTAGAAAGAATACATTTTATATTTTTATATGGTTGGGAAATATCAGTATTTTGTGACATGTGAAAATAGGAAATACAGATTTCCATGTCCTTAAATAAAGCTTTATGAGAACACAGCCATGCTCATTTGTTTGTTTTTCAGTGGCTGCTCATACACTAGTGTAAAGTTGGTTACATACAACAGACCAAATGGCCTGCAAAGCCTAAAATATTCACTGACTTTTTACAGATTATTTGCTAACCCTTGAGTATAGAGGGGAAAATGGGTTATAATAGTCAGTTCTGACTATGAATTCAGCTCCAATACCACACAGTGACCTTAATTATTTAATCATTCTGAGATTTTAATCCCCCTTATATAAATAGGGTAAGAAGACTTGGTTTGTCTTAATAGCTATATCTCTCTTATATTACATAAGTAGCACATAGGAAGTACTTATTGTTTCTATAGACCTTTATCTTCCCCACCTTGCCCCTTACATGTTAGAGAAACTATTCCTACAAGTTTGGCAAATTGAAAGAAGCCTTGCTGTAAAACTGAGGAATGTTGGATGACAGAGGGTAAGTAACCTCTGAAATATATAACTAAGTGCTGTGTAGTGAGCTATTCCCAGAGGCCAAAATAGAGAAAGTTAAACAGAAATATGATGTGTGGTTGACCTGTGGGTGTAAGGACAGTTCCTGTTTCCTGTAACCAGAGTGCTTGGGTTATAAAGGTCACGCAGTTACAATTATAGAACACTACCAATTGAGTTGGATTGACATTCACATACATTGTCAGGATTCTTAGAAATTTACCCTGAAAGACTACACTAGGAAAAAAAAGAATCCATCCTCTAGTGCTTGTCATAGGTTCTAAGTATAGAGAATAGAATTTTCATGAATTTGTTACTACAGACCTACCTTCTCATCAGTTTGAAATTCAAATTTACACTACCTCTGGATTTAATACAAAGAGCTGTGAACTTAATATGCGAAGTATTTTTCAAGTACTTGGCAGAAAGAAAAAAAAATACTTTCTGGATCAGTGTTGCACAGGATACCCACATATGAAATGCTAATGAAAACACCCAGGGGAACAAGTCACCATAAATAAGAATCAGAAGAAGGCAGTAAATAGGCAGACTTATTAGAGATTTAAGAGAAGGCAGCTAACAAAATAATGAAATAGAACTTCCAGAAATAAAACACATATTACTGAAAAATCTAGTGTAGAGATTAAATAGTACATAGAATTGGAGAGAATGAATGTAATAAACTGGGGAAATTACTCTGAATGCAGTGTAAGTGATGGAAAATTGAGTAACATTCAGTATATGCCTGGAAAGAAAGAATAGAGAATGTAGGAATAGGAAACATTAAAAGTGATGATTAATGAACGATATGATTCTTCAAACTTAGGAAATGCCACAAACCAAGAATAAAAGTATTGCAGGACAACAAAAATCAAGAAAAATCTTAAAAGTAGCCAGAAAGTAAAGACATTAACCTATGAGAGAATAGTTGGATGGTAGAACTACTCTGTAGCAGCCACAGAAGCCAGAAATAGCTTTCAAATGATGGGGAAAAAAACTTGTTAATATAGAATTTAGTTTCTAGTTAAATTTTCAAGAATCAAAGTGAACTAAATTTTTCAGTCAAAGACTAGGAGAGACTTTAGGTTAACAGATCCTCACTGAGAACATACTGAAATGGCCCACACGAAAAAACAAAATTGAATATAGAAGGAAGAAGTGATATATAAAAAATAATGCTAAGCAAGAAAATTGGTAAAGACCGTAACAAGTCTAAATCAACATGAGCTCTATGAAGCCAGCAAAAATAATGCATACTCCGGAGTTATATATAAGGTTAAAACCAAAATGCTGGAAAACAGAAACAGTTGGTCATCAGAATTACAATGTTAAAAGATTCTTCTGTTTTGAGAGAATAGTATAGGGATCATAATTAACTTTAAAAAAAAGCTAATGTTTTAAGGGTAATTGCTAAAGAACTGAGGGTAAATAGACTAAAGACTTTATAGGCAAGAAGAAAAAGGAAATGATCAGAGAAATCAAGTTAACATAAAGCACAAAAGATGACCAACCTAAGTGACCTTCAACAGATAAATGGGTTAAAAAAAATGAAATAGTGGCTTTTGGGACAAAATGGATGGAATGTGAGGTGATTATGTAAAGTTAAATCGAAAGTTAGATACCGGATGGCTCCATTCATCTGAGGAATATAAGCAACCAAAAAACACACAGAGGCACAATACAGTGAGAATAAATCTTGAATTTGATGATTACCAGAGGGAATGGGGAAGTCTACTGGTAGTGTCGTAGAGAATGCGTGGAACATGTACACATATGGAAGAGTAAAAATGTCACCCTCAAGTTGAAATTAATAAAATTTCTTTCAAATTAAAGCACAAAAGATGACTGAAATAATTCCAAATTACTAGTTGAATTATATGGAAATAATCTGAAATTTACTAGAGTCACAGCGTAGATTTCTTAAAAGTCCAGTTCTACGTTTGTTATTTATCATTCAGAATTATGGTTGGCCTTTAAAGAGTCCTAGAAAAAACAGTTCAAGATGGTTAACATAGACATACCACATACACATTGTGTGTGGAACAATTTTCTCTGAAAGATCTGAGAATAGCTGAACAACTCCATAACAAAAAGATCATAAAAGTGACAAAAAGGCAACACAAAAAATGGGTAGAAGAGGTAGAGATAGCTTGCCACAAAACCCCACTCCTGACATAGAGACTTACACTAAGAGGGAATTTGCAAAGTTCCCCAGTCCCTGGAACTTGCACTGGAAAAACAGCCCCTCAGAATATCTTTGAAAATCAAAGGGACTTGTGGACCAGGAGACCCAAAGGTGCTGGAAAATAGTCTGTGTTTTTAAGAGCAAGAGTGCAGACTTACCCTAAGACCTAACACACAAAAAAGCACCTAAGTGATACATAAGGAAGCCCGTGACCTAATCTTAAAACACCTGCCAGGACAAGGATCTATTGCAACTCTTGTGGGACAGAGGCACTGGGAGGTGTCATTTTTGCATTTACACTGACCCTTACTATAGCGAGAGCCAGAGAGTGGCATTTAAGGACTTACCTTACCTTACTAGAGTTAGTTGACTCCCCATGTACCCCACCCTCATGGTATACCATGGCTGCAGCAGCTCTCAGAATGTAGACTGGGAGTGAGGGACAAATGTGTTTTCTTTGGCCTGTGATAGCCTACCAGTACCATCCAGAAAGGAGATTATATATTCCATTAGGACCCCAATTCTTGAAGCTATTCTTAGGAGAGTTTTAGAGTGATTTCAAAATTAAGTTGCTACCGACTTAAAATGTTGTATACGTATGATACTACGTGTGAGCTATACGGTAACTACAAAGCAAAAACGATAGCAGAAACAAAACAAAATGATAAAGGATCTAAACATAACAAAGTTATCAAACCTGAGGAAGAGACTATCAAAAAAAGAAAATGAGAAGAGGAAGAGAAAGGAACACAGAGACATTACCAAAAAGCCAGAAAACAACAAAATGGCAATAAATAACATCAATAATCACCTTAAATGTAAATGAACTAAATTCTCCATTTAGAGGGCAGAGTGGTTGAATGTGGCAGAGGAGGGTGTCTCATGTATATGCTGCCGTAAGAGACCCACTTCTGACAGAAACAGAATAAAAATGAAGGGATGGAAAATATTTCCTGCAAATGGAAACATAAAACTTGTAAAGCCATACTTACTATAGACAAAACAGTACTTTAAAGCAAAGATTGCAAGAAAAGGGGGGAAAGGATGTGGGGTAGTATGCAATTGAAGGATGTGATCCTATCCAAGTCATGTACAGTGTTCTAAATCAATGTTACCTCAGTAAAGGGGGAAGATAGTAGGAATTGAAAGATGGGTCCATCCAACAAGAAGCTCTAACAGATACTTATGTACCCAACAGGAGCACCTCAATATATAAAGCAAATATTAAACCTAAAGGGAGAAAATTGACAGCAATAAAATAATACAGGAGAAGCATCCCAGGTTGCAGTGCTTAGCAGCCAGGAGGTGCTCTGAGCCTACTTCAAAACACATCTGCAAATCAGCATGTCTGCCTGTTCCCCCAGGATCACCCCACCAACCCCAGTAATCCCTGAATCTTTAATATCGACACGGGAGGGGAGTGAGTTGGTCAGATTGCCTTAGAATTGTTGGCAGATAATTTATCCAAAACTGCATCAGACAAGCCAGACAAAAATCAGACAAAACAAGACCTTAAATCAAAGACTTCAGTTATTGTTGGTGATGCACAAGACTGTGCATCAAAATCTTGGTGCTTTTTAACTGAAGATGTCAAGTTGGCAGAGAGCAAGACAGTTGTTTGGAGATTCTTGGAAAAGACTATCATATACCAAAGTATCATAGGCTCAAGTATGACAACGATTAAAATACAATCA